TGCCCCCCGTAACACATGTCGCAGCACCGCTCACTGAACACTCGGCTGGCGCTGCCTTGTTTCCTTGCGGTGCCCGTCCGTAGGCGCCTGCTTGGCGCCTCGACGCCCTGGCGGGCGTCGAGGAATCGGCGTCCCTGCGCGGGCTCACGGGCGACGACCCTCCCCGACGGCGACGGCGGCGGCGATCCGCGGCGGCAGCCCGCGGGCCCCCGCCCCGGCCGCGGGGGGGGCCGGGCCCTGCCCGCCGATGGCCGTGCTGCTGGAGACTTCCCTCGGAGACATCGTGGTGGACCTGAAGGTGGACCAGGCGCGCGCTCTGCCGCGGACGGCACGGCGACGCGCGCGGTGGGAGGTTCGGCGTGTGCTGACGCTCTCGTGGGCTCCTGGAAGGTTCTCCGGCCTCGGGGTGCTTTCCAGCAGCTGCGCCTCGCCGAGAGCGTTCCGGGGATGCCCGGATCGTCCCGAACGGCCGCCGGAGGCCCGAGTTCTGACGCGAAAGCAATTTCGGCGACGGGGATCGGACGGACGACGGACGGCGCCGCCGGCGACGGCGACGGCGACGAGGCGGAGTCGATTGAGCAAGAACCACCCCTACCCCCTGCAGCTGACTGGCACTCAAACTATGCTCTCGTGTGCGATTGCGGAGCAGGCCACCCTCGCTTCTTCCTGCGCGTCTCCGCGAGAGTTTCGACTGTACGGGCGCACGCTGTGCGGGCCGGGAAGGAGGATGAAGGAAGGAAAAGCCATCCGGACGGGACAACTGACGTTTATTCAACGGCCCTGGGCGTTTGCTAAACAGCCCTGCCCTGTTTGATTCCTTATTTGGGGGCGTTTGCTAAACGGCTTCGCGTGTCGGCGTGGCTATTGTCGGGGTGGATGGAGCGGAGAGCGCAGAAGGCGAGGAGTGAATGCAAGTTCTTGACGCTCCCTGCATGCCCCCGACCAGCCGGTGCAGCAGCGATGCCCGGAGCGAGCTGCCCGGAACCGAGAAGCGCGCAGGCGCATGCCGTGTGACGCAGAGGCGGGGCACTCAGTATCGTTTATCCGACCCCCATCCCCATCCTCACCCCCTTCGAGACCCCCACGAAATTACCACCCCAGTTGTGGATACACCCCTCGAAACCCGAAGGGGACGGCCTATATCCCCATCTAGGGGGGTAAATCGGCCAGTGGTGCCCAGGCCACGCCGCTGGGGATGGGGATCGTTTAAACGATACTCATGCACGTTGCCCTGTGTCGCACCTTCGTCGGTAACTAGAGGCAGTCTAGATCCGGGGGCATAGGCATAGGGGGGAGATGCATCGACCCCCAATCGCCCATTGATCGCCGATAGGGGCCCTATGGCCCCAACCTGCAAAGGAAGGTGCGGATTCACCACTATCGGGGGCCTATCGCCGATCTATCGGCGATGTGTCGCCGATTCCAGGCCCCCCCCTATCGTTGCCCCTCATAGGTGAGGGTCGGAGTAGATCGGGTCGGAGGATCACGCCGCACCGCCGATACATCAGGGATGTGGTTCGACGTGAAGCCCGATTTGCTTCACGTCGCAATCGCCGATATGTCGCCGACCGCGGCGATGCATCGCTGGTGCATCGCCGATGCATCGCCGATGCATTTGCCGAGCTCTTGCATCAAAAAAGATGGGTTGCCACTCGCGCGCGAGCGAGATTGAGATAGAGAGAGAGAGAGAAAGAGACAACAGTGTGTGTGTGTGTGTGTTCGTGTGTGTGTGTGTGTGTTCGTGTGTGTCTTTAACGCTCCTCCTGGCTTGCTTCTCCGACATTGGCATTCAGCATTCCGACTGCACAAACTGTTTTCGCTATGTTGCCGCGCGCACAGCTGCCGACAGAAAGTGCATGCGTGTCATCACAGGTGGTATCTTGCCGCAAGACTGTGATATCCATGACAATGAGCGTTCTTGTCCACATCTGAAGACTTGCCGCGAGGCCCCACGGACTTGCACCAACTTCGTCAAGGCATCGGCTGACCGTCTGCCATTCTGTGGGGGGGCTGGGATGCCAGTTCGATGAGCAGTTTGGACGCGTGGCAGTGCAGCGCGAATGCAACCGAGGTGAGAATGTCCCCGAAGAAGAAAAGGCAAATCGCACAAACATCTACTTGGGAGCTGCGCCTCGCGGATTTCTGGGATCTGCGCTGGGCCCCCTCTGGCGGCGCTCTCGGCGACGCCCCCTGCCGCGTTCCGCGCGCCAGGGAAGGGGGCCCAGCGCCGATCCAAGAACTTGGCGCGGGGCTCCGAAAAGTGTCTGGCCATCTAGCCTGTTGCTCCTGCAGAGGGGTCCGGCGCTCAAATCGCTCGCGCCCTGGGGAAGTTAGCAGGCAAGATGCATGACGGCATCACGGCCTGGTGCCCTGTGACAGCACCGGTCGAAGAGGTGCACGGCCAGGCGGGCATGCAGCGCACCGGCCCTGGGGGGCGTAGGAGGAAAGCGACCATGGGGCGAGCGAGGGAGGCGACTTTGCTCGGGGGCGGCGAAGAGGGGGGTGATGACTGGGGGGGGCGGAATATCGTGGTGGGGGTCATGATATCTACCCAGATTTCATGACGCCTCTTCTTCCAGTGGATGCCCATGCAAAGAAACGTTTTGCTTGCCTCCAGGGTGCCCTGTGTTTTTTAGGTTTCGATGGTTTTGCGATGGAAAGCGAGACGTTCCCACACCAAAAAAGAATGGACGTCCTGGGGTCTCAGGGTTGGGTTTCTTATGGACGATTTCTTGTGGACTGGCCTCCACTGTACTTCATTACGTTATCGCCCCCCCCATGGGCCACGCACATGCCGCCGGCCACGATTTGCCCCCCCGCCTCTTGGACGCCCCTCTCTTGGCCGCCCCCGAGGTGTGAGGAAAATGATGTCAGAGGAGGACAGAGTTCACCGCTGCCACTGCCCTTGCCTCGGTGTCTCGCTTTTTCTGGAGGCCTTCTGGGAGGCCCTCGTCACCACGGACGGGTTCGCTCCTCGAAATTCCCTGGAGCTGGAAAGGTTTGGGGAGCAGCGTTGAGTCGGGCCTGTCCCTCTACAGGAGGGATATCCAAAAATACAAGAGAAATAGTTTGGGAACGGTTTGATTCTTATTATTTCCATTCGTATTGTTATTGTTCCGATTCTTCTTCTTATTATTATTAGTATTATCATTATTTGTTTAGTAGTATTATTATTATTGTCATTATGTTGTGACTATTTTGTAGTGTATTGGGTGTTTTTTAAATTATTGTTCGCCCAAAATCCGCCTGTAGGGGGACATGTCCGACCTAAGAGTAGCAGTATTGGCACCTTTTCTGGCCCCACCATGATCGGGAGACGTGTCGCGAGCTTCGAGCGAGCCAGAGTGGAGGAGGGCTGAGGCGAGCTGTAGAGATACGTCCGAGTGATCTAATGCCCACCTTGTACGAGACTTGGGACCGCCTCGGGCGGCAGAGAAGGCGAAGCGTGAAGCGTGGGAGCAGGCTTGAGGCCTCAGGAAGGCAGCCCTCTGAAAAAGCGAACTCACGAGTGTGCAACGTAGTTGGTCTTCTTGCCCGCTCTCTTCGCGCTTTGATGCCTCGTGCAGCGCTGTTCCCCTTTCCCCTCTCCGCAGCCGCGCGGGCCACAGGGGGGATCCGCGCGGGCAGAGAAGACGGGGTAGGGGGCGGAGGAGGACGGAGAGGCCAAAGGGGCAGGAAGACGCGGAGTAGGAGGAGGACGAGGAGGAGGAGGAGGAGAAGCAGGAGCAGGAGAAGGAGGAGCAGTGGGAGGAGGAGGGAAGCCTTCGGGCCTGCTCCGAGGACTCGCAGGGCCAAACCCGAGGGCTTCTGAGAGGCCCTGCCGCCTGCCTGGGAAGGACGAGGAGGGCGGGCTCAGGGAGGAGATGGGGACGGAGGGGACAGGGGAGAGAGAGAGAGAGAGAGGCGGGCCCGAGTGGGAAGGGAGGAGGGAAGAGGAGGGTAATGGAGGGGCAGAGAGTGCAGAGATGGACACGCGCCACGGTCGCACGAGCCGACGGAGAACGGGACGGGCGAGCTTCCCACCGCGCAGTTGTGCAAGATCAAGTACTACAACAATTGCCTCATTCACACCGTGCAGAAGGAGGGGTGCCGCGGAGGAGTAGGAGGAGGAGGAGGAGGAGGAGGAGCATGTGAACATGTTCACCTTAATTATGGCGCTCTCGAGGAAGGTTGCCAGACTGGAGGGAGGATGAGAGAGGAGGAGGAGGAGGAGGAGGAGGAGGAGGAGGACAAGTTAGGTGCGATCTTGCCACTTCTGGCATCCTATCCCTCCCTGTCCCACGTTCCTATGGCGCTGATTTGTTCTCGATCCGCGGACGCGTGTCGTAGCTGATCTTGAACTCCAGCAGAAAGACCCGATCGTGATAAGGGCAATCGGAAACGGGGGAGCTGTGCACATAGGAGGAGGAGGAGGAGGAGGAGGAGGAGGAGGAGGAGGAGGAGGAGGAGGAGGTGGCGGGTGAGCAACAGGATGAACAGGAGGAAACTGAGGACGATGGGGAAGTACGAGTGCGAGGACGGATAGCAACAGCAGGCATGTGAGTAGAAGGGCCGGGAGAGGCAGAAGGAACAGGAGAAGGCGGAGGAGGGGCAGTGAGGGGGGCGGCAACGACGGAGAAGGACGCGGAGCCAGAAACAAGTAGCCTAAGCTAAGGGAGGGCGAGGGCGCTATGCGGAACGACAGGGGGGCAACGCGCCGCTCCGAAAAGATGAGGTCTACGCTGCAGCGGGAGCAGCACTGAAGCACCGGAGGCAATCGGACTGCACACCAGCGGCAAGAAAAAACAATGTTCGAAATCTCGTGTGTGTGTGTGTGTGTGCGCGCGTGCAAAAGAGTACCTTGGCATCGCTCGGACGTGTGCGTTTTTTCCTCGGCGAGGACCATCGAGGAGCATCATTGATCATTTGGCGAAAAATCCACGCACGAAACAGAAAAAAACACAGGGAATGGACGTCCGAGCGATGGCCAGGTACGCGGAGAGGACGGGGGCACTTGGTGGAGCTCCCTGTGGGGCCACGGAAGCGTGTGAGGGCTTTGCCGACACAGGCTTGACGCCCACATGCGAACTGTTCCACGAGAGCACGCGGTGGAGCCCCCTATGTGGCCACGAAACGTGTGAAGGCTGTGCCGAAAGTTACCAGCCTCGAACATATCCCTATCCCTGAGATAATCATGCCAAAAGGCGATGACAACCTTAGGGATGCGCCCTCAAAAAAAAAGGAATCCGTGAGATTGGCATCGTGATGAGGCGATGCCCAGCATAGGGGTAGGCCAGGCTGGTAAGAAAGGGGAGTGACGCCCACTTGAGATTGCGCCACGGTGGCCTTCGATGGAGCCCCCTATGTGGCCACGAAACGTGTGAGGGCTGTGCCGACACGGACGTGACGCCAAGATGCAAACTGCGCCACGGGTGCATTCGGTGGAGCTCCCTATTGGACCACGGAAACGTGTGAGGGGTGTGCCGAAATGATTGAAGAACCGCATGCGAACTGCGCCACACAGGTACTCTGTGGAGCTCCCAATGGGGCCACGAAATGCGTGTGGGGTGTGCCGAAACTGGATTGGCGCACGCGTGCGATTTGCGCCACGGGGGCCTCCGATGGAGCTCCCGATATGGCCAGGAAACGCGTGAGTAGTGTGCCGACATGCGCGTGACGCCAACATGCGAACTGCGCCACGGGGGCCTTCGATGGAGCTTCCAATGGGATCACGAAACGTGTGAGGGGTGTGCTGAAACGGGCGTGACGCCCACATGCGAACTGCGCCACGGAGGCACTCGGTGGGGCCACGAAGCGTGTGAGTGCTGTGCCGGCATGGGCGATGATGATGATGATGATGATGATGATGATGATGATGGTGATGGTGATGGTGATGGTGATGATGATGATAATGCTGATGATGATGATGATGGTGATGATGATGATGATGATGGTGGTGGTGATGATGATGGTGATGGTGACGGTGATGGTGACGGTGATGGTGATGATGATGATGATGATGACGAACATGGTGATGATGATGCTGAGGATTCTGATGTTGGTGCTGGTGATTGTGGTGATGATTACGATTATGGTAATGATGATGCTGATGATGATGACGACGATGATGATGATGATGCTTAGAACGATGATGCTGCCAATGACGATGGTGATGATGATGATAATGATGATGATGATGACGGTGATGATGATGATGATGATGATGATGGTGACGGTGGAGATGATGACGATGATGATGATGATGTTTGTAAGTATGATGTTGCTGCTGATGATGATGGTGGTGATGACGATGCTGATGGTGATGATGATGACGATGATGATGGTGATGCTGATGATGCTGAGGATGAGGATGATGATGACGATGATGATGGTGATGTTGATGATGACACCGATGATGATGATGATGATGATGATGATGATGATGATGATGATGATGTTGATGATGATTGTTATTATTATGGCGATGACGATGCTGTTGTTGTTGATGATGCTGATGCTGATGCTGATGTTAATGCTAATGATGATGCTCATGACGATGGAGGGTGGACAAGGAGGATGAGGAGTAGGAAGGATTGCGGGACGCTGTCCCTTCAAGGCGAGGACCCAACACCACAGGAAGGTTCGGACAAAAAAGCATGGACAAATATAGAGAGAGAGCGAAAGAAGTAATGTCAGAGAGAGCATGCGCACCGCGGCAATATTGCAGTACTAGGTCGCCCGAAATTTGCACGAACGAAGAATATGTTTGGAAGTTGACCAATTGCAGGACTACATCGCCCAGACGGGTGACCCCACCAATACGGGAAAGGTCGCATCGTTTTCTTGTCTTATTTCGTTCTCGCCGTCACGTTGTGTTCCATGTTCCCACTGCTCCCCCTCCTCTCTCCAGCACCCACGGCAGAGCTCCGTTTGCTATGCCTCGCATGTTGTATGGGCGCGTGTTTCAAGTAGTGGTATCCCTTCTTGTGGCACTCCATGCGCATGGTCATGCATTGTGGATTCCTGTCTGTTTCCAAAGTTTCCCCCGACTGCTTGCGATTACAGTCAGCGTCCCCAGTAAGGATGCGTGCCTTAATCTCGGGTGCCCTTGCGTCCGCGCCTCTGCGGTCCGTCCTTTGCTCTTTTCGCTGGTCGATGGCCGCCTCCAGGGGTCCTGCGCCCTTACCTGAAGGGAGGAAAAACCACCCGGACCTGACAATTGGCGCTTACTAAACGGCCATGGGCGTTTACCAAAAGCCTTGCCCTGTTCGATTCCTTCTTTGGGTGCGTTTACTAACGGCCTCGCTTGTCGGGGTGGTTATTATGGGGCTGGATGTGTTGCCTCCTATTACCGCCCGTCCTCGATACACGTCTTGACTGTAGATCTTGTGAGGCTTCGGGGGAGATGGCCCTGCGGCCCGCACGTCTTCCGGTGGCCTCCTGGCCTCCTACGGCTTAGCATCCTGTGGCGCCTCCTCCTTCTCCTCCTCCTCCTCCTCCTCCCCCTCCTCCCCCTCCTCCTCCTCCTCCTCCTCCTCCTCCTGGACTCCCACGGCTTAGCATCCTTTGGCGCCTCCACCTCCTCCTCCTCCCCCTCCTCCTCCTCCTCATTCTCCTCCTCCTTCTCCTCCTCCTCCTCTCCTCCTCCTCCTCCTCCTCCTCCTCCTCCTCCTCCTCTCCTCCTCCTCCTCCTCCTCCTCCTCCTCCTCCTCCTCCTCCTCCTCCTCCTCCCTCCTCCTCTCCTCTCCTCTCCTCTCCTCTCCTCTCTCTCCTCTCCTCTCCTCTCCTCTCCTCTCTCTCCTCTCCTCCTCCTCCTCCTACTCCTCCTCCTCCTCCTCCTCCTCCTCCTCCTCCTCCTCCTCCTCCTCCTCCTCCTCCTCCTCCTTCTCTTCTTCCCTCCCCGCTCCTTCTGCCTATCCTCCCCTCCCTCACAGTGCCTGGAGCCATGCAGACACTGTGCTAGCATCTGCCCAGCACCTCATGCGCTCGGCACATGCTGGCCACGCGGGACGAGGAGAGCACAGCCGGATGCATCGGGGGGTGTTCGTGTCTTCGTCTTGCATATTCTGGTTGCATCATTGTATGCGCACACATGCGGGATGCGGGCGCCTTGAGAGCAATGATTTCAAGGAGCACGATGGGGAGGACGAGAAGGATAACCATATGAAGGGGCAGGAAGAGCAGGATGCGGACCAGGTTGTGCGTGCACAGCTTGGTTCAGAGGGATGCTTGGGGACACGGTGGTTCTCAGTGGTAGAATAGTCGTTGGGAATATCTAGCTGCCTGCGGAACGTTTCACTGCCGTACCACCCTAGCATTCTGGGTGGCGACTCCTTGAGGGGGCACGGGATGCCGTCACGTGTGCCACCTCGTGCCCCCAGGTTGGGAGCCGTGATGAGGATGAGGATGATGAGGATGCTGATGAGGAGGATGCGGAGGATCAGGTGGAATGGGAGGAGGAAGAGAAGGCCCGTCGCATGTGACACCTTTCGTCTTCACATCTTGAGGAGCTCACATCGAGCTCATTTGGGCTGTCTTGGAATGCCTGCACCTCCTCTAGGGCAGTCTTGGGGGTCCCTTGGGTCCGTCTTGGGGCCCTCGTGGGCCAGTTTGGGGCCCTCTTGGGCCGTCGTGGGGATATGCTGGCTGATTGGAGGGTGTCTGGGGACCTTGTAAGGCCTTCTTTGGTCTCTAGAGGCCCCCTTGGGCCGTCTTGGAGGCCGACTGGGCTATCATGGAGTCCTCTTCGGCCGTCTTAGGACCCTCCTTTGGGCCTCTTGGGCCGTCTTGGAGGTATCGTGGAGGCTTCCTTGGCCGTCGAGAGCTTATGGAAGCCCGAAGTGGACAGAATGCTAACCTGTTTCGAAGTACCTCGGAAGGCCACTTGCACTGCCGAGAGGCCCAACATACTTAGATTATGTCTGGCTCGTTGCTTCAAGCATAACGCCGCGGAACGGATAAGGGGCCAACCCCCTGCGCACCCCGTTCTGGCGTCGAGGGAGTGCCACGCGTGCCCGGCCCCCTCGAGCCTGGCGCGAATAGCAACCCCAGCGCTTGCGTACCCCCTCCGCTGTCACGAAAATGGTACCCCTGCCACGCCTCGCGAGCTCGAGTCACCCCTTGCGCACCCTCCATGGTGCCGAGGCAGTGCCGCGCCTGCCGCGCCCTGCCGCGCCCTGCGAGCCTGGCGCGAACACGGATGCCACCCCAGCGCACTGGCTCCTGTGTCGAGATGCCACGCCTGCCGCGCCCCGCGAGCCAGGAGCCAGCTGCAGACCCCATCCCTGCGGGCCCCCCCCTGCGGGTGTCGAGGTGCCGCGCCCGGCCACGCCCTGCCGGCCTGGCGCGGACGGAGATCCCACCGCCTGCCCCTCTCGGGGGCGGCAAAGAGGGGGGTGATGACTAGGGGTGGGCGGATCCCACGGCGGGGGGCGCGATATCTCCCCAGGTTTCATGGCGTCCCTTCTCGTGCCAATGCGTCCCTGTCCCCCCCCCCCTGAGCCGCGCACGTGCCGCCGGCCGTGATTTGCGCCCCCCCCCCCGCCTCTTGGACGCCCCCCTCTTGGCCGCCCCCGACCCTCTGTCAGGGCGGTTATCCCCTCGGAGCAGCCAGGGGGTGCGGCCCTCTGGCGTTTTTTTGTGGCGCCCTGGGCGCCTCGCGTGGCCCCGCCGGCCCATCCGGAAGCGCTGCCCAGGCGAGCAGCCCTGGGCAGGGATGTGGAGGAGCACGCAGCGGAATGCGGGGAGGAATCTGAGGAGGAGGGGGGGGGAGGCGGGATGAGGGAGGAGGAGGACTAGGCGGACGAGGAGGAGGAGGAGGAGGAGGAGGAGGAGGATGAGGAGGAGGAGGAGGAGGAGGAGGAGGAGAAGGCGGAGGAGGAGGAGGAGGAGGAGGAGGAGGAGGAGGAGGAGGAGAGGGAGGAGGAGGAGGAGGAGGAGTTGGGCGAGCAGAAAGGCCAGGTGTCTCTTGGATGCCTCTATGAGTCTCTTCGGGTGTATCTTTGGAGTTTCTTGGGGTCCTCTTGGAGTTTCTTGAGGCCTCTAGGCGGTCCCAGGGGGGCTCGTGAGACGTCTTGGGCGCCTCGGGAAGCATCTTGGGGTACCCTCCGAGGACCTCTTCGGAGCCTCTTGGGGTTTCCTGGGCTCCTCTAAGCGCCTCCCAGGAGCACTCGTGGGAGCCTTGGGGGTCATCTTGGGGCCATCCTGGATGAGCTCGGTCGAAGAAGGGGGAGCATCAAGTAGCACCGTCCCCCAGGAGGCCAACATGGGCTCGACATCTAAGTAAAACCAATGATTGGTTGCCTTCTCGTTGAGGCCTTCTTGGACGCTTCAATCGGTCGCAGGGCGCCCCCTCCAGACCTTTGGGGAGGGGGTAGGGGGAGGGGTCAAGACCCCCTCCCCGCCCGCAAGCCGTCTCGCTCACTCCCACCCGCCCTCCCAACACACACGTAGCACCCGAGTCTGGCCCGAGCCTCAGCATATTCAGCAGTCGTCTTTGGATGGGCAGCTACTGGGGGCCAATCCGCCGCCGCCGCCGCCGCCGCCGCAGCCGCCGCAGCCGCCGCCGCCGCCAATTGTACTCTGTATTGTTTTTTGACAGGGATGGTGGGGGAGCCGCATCGGGTTGGCTGCGCATGTTCCGAATTTGGAGGTAGAGTGTGTTTTGTATGGTTTTTTACCAGGGATGGTGGAGGGGTGTTGTCATGGACTCGGGTTGGCCCCCAGTCGCCTGGGGGAGGGGGTGTTTATTAATAGGGAACAGTGGTCAAGACACCTCTCGCAGCGCAAACTGTTTGGCTCACTCCCACCCGCCCTCCCAGCACATCAGTAGAACCCGAGTCTCCGCATATTTAGTTGCCGTCTTCGGATTGGCAGCGATTCGGAACCAATACCGACCCCAGGTGCGCGACGCTGGGGCGAGCTGTGCCGCGTGGGCCAGGCGCGCCACGCGCACCAGGCGCGTCAGGCGCTCCTGGGGCCCAAGCGTGCCGGGCACTCCTTGTCGCCAGATGCGCCACGTGCGCCAGTTGTGCCGCATGCTCCAGCCGCGCTAGGTGCGCCGCGTTTGGGGCACGCGCACGGTGTGCCAGGTGCGCCCGCGCACAACGGGAAACATGTAGGCCCCCACTATCACCGTCGAAGGGTGATGCACCGTCTCGGTGGAGTGACCATCGTGAGTTCTGGTAGACCTGGGCCGTATTTGGCCGTCGTGATGCTTTCTTAGGCCGTGTTGGGGCTCTATCGGGCCGACGTGGAGCCTTTTTTGCCTTATGGTGGGTACCTGGGGGTGTCGTGGGGGCCGTCTTGGGCAGCCGACAGGCAGTCTGAGGCCGTCCTGGATTTTTGGGCCGTCTTGGGGCCGTCTTGGATTTTTTGGGGGCCATCGTGCGACCTCGTGGGCCAGTGTGTGACCCTCTTGGGGGTCCCCTTGTGCCGTTTTAGGGCCATCGTGGACGCCTTCTGGTCAGTCTGGAGCTGACCCCAGCCCGAAAAGCCGAGAATGCGAACATCGTTCAAACATCCAGGGGCAATCACTGATTTGGGCTTCTTCGGACCCTGGTGCAGGTCCTCCTGTGGCCCTTTTGGGCCCTCTCGGAGGCATCTTGGGTGGCGTATACACCGTTGTTGGGCTCAGGATGGGCCTGGCGCCCGACGGAACTGAGCCCAGCGTAGTTACAATTCCATTCGTTTCGCGCCTTTCTGACGCCTCAGTCTAGTGCACGTCCCCGAGGGAGGACAGGGAGCAGGAAGGAGGAAGCATGCATTTGGCGGTTGACTCTGGAGATGGTGCGAAACACGTTCATCCTCTGCCAGGGTGGCTCTTCGATCCATGCGAAGCTCCCGGGCCTTGCGAAGAGATTCTTCGACGACGAGGCCGTTCTTTCTGTATTGGAGCCTCCGTGTATTATCCCTCTACTCAAATTTTAGAGTAATTGGTGCGATCGCGGGCAGTCGGCGTGCTTACCATGACGGGATCTAGTTTCTCCTTGTGAGCGACGAAGAGACATGCATGTGGCGACGTGTTCTTCGTATTCTGGTTAAGGGGGGGGGGCACGGTGACTGTAGAGGCTCTAGAGGGAGGGCCCTTGGTTGGACCGAGAGACAGCACGATGCGCTTTTGGAACCCGGCACTGTTGTTTGGGCCGTGCGGGTTTGGGGAGGTGTGGGAGTGCCGGTGTGGTTCACCAGGCGTGCGGACGCCTCGGGCATGGCTCTTCGCAGGGAGTGGCCCTCAGTGCTCGCCGCGGGGGAGGGAGGAGGGAGGAGGGGGGAGGGCGGAGGGAGGTCGTCGTCGGACGAGGGCATGGCGAGACGCGTGCTCCTTGACTGGATGGCCCCCGGGGTCCAAGGCATCATAAAAAGTACCTTTGGGGAGGTGCTGGGTGGGAGGCACAAGCAAAGTGAGCCAGCGGGGAGAGCGAATGGGGGCGACCCACGACGAGGGAGCCTGCACAAACGCTACGCGCACTTCAGGAGCACATTGCACAGAAGGGCTAGACTGAACTAGTCAGGAGGGCAACCCTCACAGAGAGGAGACGGCTGGACACCGTACTTCTTGCACACCATGAGGTAGAGCTCGTCCTCCGAGCCCTTGTACCGGGTCAGCCAGGAATCGATCCTGAAGTCGGGGTCGTACTGCGAGAGAATGTCAAAGATCCTTCGCTGGCAGATCCTGAGGCGCTCTCCAGAACTAGCCGAAACTGTCGGCTGCGGCTGCGGCTTCACGGGCGAGGTGGGGGCTGCTGCGACAGGGCGCGTGCCCACCTCCGCTCCACTGGACACGCCGTCAGCAGCTTCCGGAGGAGCCCCGTGCTTGCCTGTCCTCTTGGACACGGCCACTTCGACCGCGGGCGCGACGACGCCGAGAGCCGAAAGCAGCGTGTCCATCTGCATCGCCGGGGCCTCGGGCGCGAAGTCCGGTGGCTGCCAGATGCCTGGCGGAACCGCTGGGGCATTGACAGTGGCCACGGTGACCTCGGCGTTCAAGTGCAAGCATTGCTTGGCCAAGTACGTGACGTCCTTCATCCAAGGCGCACGGCCCACGCGCGCACAATAGCCCAGTCGCCGAAAAACAGCGCGTGTGAGCCTCGGGGAGGGTCCCGGACCTGCCTCGTGATCGCGGCCAGCCGGGGCATGCCAGGAGCGAAGGCGGCGGCCGGCGCGCATGGCAGCTGTCCCGGGAAACGGGGTCCTGCAGCAGCACCCTGAGTGCTAGAAAGGACCTCGGACCGGGACGGCGGCTGCGGAGGGAGGAGGGAGGAGTGAGGAGGGAGGGGGGAGGAGGGAGTGGGGAGGAGGGAGGAGGGAGGAGGAGGGGGGAGGCGGGAGGGAGGAGGTGCGTTGACTGAATGCCCCAGACATCCGGCGACCCCACTTGTTGTGCGAAGCGCCGCTGGCCGTCGGAATCATTGCACCCTTCCCTGGGTTGTGGGCGAAGAACGTATCCGTCTCCGCGGCCTCTCGGGCCGGGCTCTCGGGCTGCGACCCGCGGAGGCCCCGCGCGCCATATATATATATATATATATATGTATATATATATATATATATATATATATATGCGTAGGGCCGCGTATTCGCGGGACCGCGCCCGCGGTGGATGTGTTCGCCGCCTGGTGGTCGACGATCCCGAGCCCAGAAACGGGTCTCGGATGGTAAGTTTCTGGCACGGCTCACGCTCGCCTGGTTCGAGGCGCTTGAGAGGTTTCGGATCAGGGTGGATGGTCAAACGTGTTGCGCATTGGCGACGGCGCCGCCGCGTCTTCTTTTTGTGTTGTGCAGTGCGTGCTTGAGCCACACGGCCGTTCATTCACGGACTCGGAAGTTCCGTTTCATTCAGCCGCGCGCAGATGGGGGTAGGGGGGGAGTGGGGAGGGCTTCTCAGAAGCACCCCTGGGTCTCAGAAGGCGTGGGCCTAGGGCCAGCATCTTCTAAGAAGAAGCAGCCTCCTTCTCAGAAGCCTTCCCCCCTCCCGCTATCCCCCTGTGCGCGCCGCCAGCTGCCGTTCATTCACGGACTCGGGAGCTCCGTTCCACCCACCAACCCGCTCATCGCCCTTCCCCCTCCTCCCTCGAGAACGGGGGGCCGTTCACAAGTACCCATCGGTCGTTGAAATTAGATATTTTTGGATTCCCAGAACACAGTCTACTTCAAGCGCCTTCCTACTTCAAGAATCGATGTGGCTTGGCTGTTGTTTGTTATTCTTTGGGCGGGCCCGAACCCAATCTACTTAATCCGCCCTCCTACTTCATGTTCTTACCTACTTCTTCCGACCGACGCGTACGCTCATAATCAGAATCCCACGTCCTTGCTTCTGCTCCTCTTTACCCCCCTGCCCCTCCTGCTTTCCCTCTCCCTTCTTCCTCCCACCCACCTCCCTCTCCTCCTCGTTCTTCTCCTTCCCCCCTCCCCCCCCCTCGAGCGGGAGAAATGGGGATGGGGACGGCTGGCTATGATTCTGTAGGCGGGAGACGTGACGGACGTGAAGTTGAGATTCTTGCTTCGCGATGCATGCCAGGTCGGGGTCCGTTTCGATGGGGTCTGATAGAATCTTCGCCCAGCTGGGCCTGACTCGATTTCAGCGTTCCGATGGTCAGATGCGTTGTTGTGCACCCGGCGCGGTCGACTCGATTCGAATTCCAGTTTGTGCCGATACTCTAGATTCGATGAATTTTCCGACCCGGCCCGACTTCGATGCCATGCCGATTGTGTTTGCAATTGTGGTGGACGTCGCCAGATCACGCCTGCGCTCAAGCACAACGTCCGGAGGGGATTTGGAGTTCATGGCCCATGGCAAAGTTGAGACAGCAAAATGAGTACGGCGAGCTTGAGAAAGCAGATGAGTTGGATGAGGAATTTTGGATGAGAGGAGCAAGTGGGGGAGGGAGGGGGAGGGATGGAGGACAACGGAAAAGCAGAGATATAGAGAGATTGTGGAAGTTGGTGCATGGTGGACGGGGATGGAGGGCGGAGAGCTGTGGAGGACGACGGATGTCGATGGAGGAACATGGAGGACGGTGTATGACGGAGGAGCAAGCTGGAAGACGAGGGAGTTTGTTGGTTGCATTGAATTCTTTCGCAGGCGCATGCCCCGATTGGAGGGAAGATTGCTCGCAGACGCCAGCTCACTTCGCGCCTGCCCTATCTCAGGAGGGAAAAAAACACAGACACAATTCATCGTCGATTCCCCAGAACATATGGGAACATATGGGAAGTGCGGGGGAGAAAAACACCCAGAACATATGGGAACATATGGGGAATGTTGTGATCCCCCGCATGTTTCGTAGGGTTCTGGCTTTCTTCTCTGCCGCGTCGCACCCGCGTCTTCCACCCGCCTCCCTCTCCTTCTCCCTCTCCTCACGCACACACAGACACACACACACACCACAACACACACAATGTATGCGTACATACTGGGCACACACATGAGGCACACGTCCCGATACGGCCAATACGGTCGCAGTGCACGGCAGGCTTTGCACTTTCTCGACGCCATAGAGGGTGCGCAGGGGGTGGTCCCTGAGCGCGGCGTCTATGCGGGCCATGGCGCAGAGCATAGCAGGCGTGGCACTTTCCCGACACCATAGGGGGTGCGCAGGGAGTGGTCCCCGAGCGCGGCGTCTATGCGAGCCATGGCGCAGGGCATAGCAGGCGTGCCGTTTTCTCGGTACCATAGGTGCGCAGGGGGTGGTCCCCGAGAGCGGAATCTATGCGGGCCACGGCGCAGGGCATAGCAGGCGTTTCTTTTTCTCGACACCTTAGGGGGTGCGCAGGGGGTGGTCCCCGAACGTGGCGTCTATGTGGGCCATGGCGCAGGGAATAGCAGGCGTTTCACTTTCCCGACACCATGGGGGGTGCGCAGGGGGTGGTCCCCGAGCGCGCCGTCTATGCGGGCCATGGCGCAGAGCATGGCACTTTCTCGACACCATAGGGGGTGCGCAGGGGGTGGTCCCCGTGCGGGTCATGGTACAGGGCGTAGCAGGCGTGGCTGTTTCCCGACACCAGAGGGGGTGCGCAGGGGTGGTCCCTGAGCGCGGCGTCTATGCGTGCCGGTCGTCCAGGGCATAGCAGGGGTGGAACTTCCCCGACACCATAGGGGGTGCGCAGGGGGTGGTCCCTGAGCGCGGCCGCTATCCGTGCCGGTCGTCCAGGGCATAGCAGGACTGGCACTTTCCCGACACCATAGGGGGTGCGCAGGAGGTAGTTCCTGAGCGCGGTCGCTATCCGTGCCAGTCGTCCAGGGCATAGCGGGAGTGGCACTTTCCCGACACCATAGGGGGTGCGCAGCAGGGAGTGGTTCCTGAGCGCGGTCGCTATCCGTGCCGGTCGTCCTGGACGCTGCTGTCCGTGACGGTCGTCCAGGGCATAGCAGGCATGGCATATTCTCGACGCCAAGGGGGTGCGCACGGGGTGGTCGATGAGCGTGGCCTCTATCCGTGACGGTGGTGCTCAGGGCACATCGGTACACAAGTTTGCTATCCGTGCCGGTCGTGCTCAGGGCACAGGGGAACGCTGGCGGAGCACGCGTGGTACATTCTCGTAACCTTAGGGGGTCTGCCTGTGGTGGTCTCCGAGCGCGGCCGCTATCCGAGCCGGTCGTCCAGGGCGCAACAGGCGTGGCACTTTCTCGACACCATAGGGGGTGCGCAGGGAATGTCCACCAACATCATTCTCACATGTTTCACTTCAGCTATAATCACTCCAGCCATAATATAAGTATGTGGGGTTCCTCGGTAGCGTAGTTTGTGTCTATTTATTTGTGTGTCCCAGGGCACCTTCACTGCTACCGCATAAGTCCAGGCGCTGAAGGAAGGAGCAGTTCAAAGTCGGCAGGGGCTGCTGTTCCTCAGGGCCTTCCACCCAGGTGACTGGCTTCAGGAAGAGGATGAGAGGTCTGACTGAGGGAGCGTGAGTCTAGGTTTAAGTCTGGCACGTCCCTGTACAGGAGAGTGTTCAAAAAGAGTCACAAAATAGTCGGGGGACGATTGTTTGAGTATTGTTTAGTGTTGTAGTGGCCTTCGGCCAGTGCCGCCGATCCGGGGCGCTCCGACTGATGTGATCCTTCTTCGCCCTCGTCCCTCCTCTCTTTTTCCCTCCCCTCCTCTCACTCAGCATTTATCGAAGACGCCTACGGCGAATCACCGCCGCCCCCTGCCTTTTTGGAAGCGCCTATGTGGCCGAACGTTGAGGCCAGACCTGCCAAGCTATCGGACCACGTGTTCCCCGAATCGGTTTGGAAAGCCTTCGGGGAACACGTGGGCATCTTGAAGGTCATCTTGGCCGTCTTGGAGGCCTCTTGGGCAAGCTTTGGGCGATCTTTGGGGCTTTTTGGGCCGTCTCGGGCCAGCTTCGAGCCAACTTCGGCCATCTTGGTGGGTTCCTGGCACGTCTGAAGCCGTCGGAAGCCGTTTGGGGGGCCTCTATGGGCCGACTTGGGGCCCGCTTGGAATGCTCCAGGGCCGTCTTGGAGGCCATCTTGGGCGTCTTGGAGGCCATCTTGGGCGTGTTGGAGGCCTCTTGGGCCCTCTTGGGGCCCTCTAGGGGCCATCTTGGAGGCCACTTGGGCCATCATGGGGCTCTCTTGGGGGCCTCTTGGGCGATCTTGGGGGCTTCTTGGGCCGTCTTGAGCCGTCGGAGAGCCGAAAAGGCGCAAATGCCAAAATCCTTCAAAAACCAAAGGAAAATCAATGATTTTGGCCTCTTCGGACTCTCCTGGAGGACCTCTTGGAGGCCTCTTGGGCCGTCTGGGAGGCCTCTGGGGGGCCTCTTGGGCCGTCTTGGGCCGTCTTGGACTCTCTTGGGCCGTTTTGGAGGCCGTCTTGGACCATCTCGGGCGGACTTGGAGGCCATCTTGGGCCATCTTCGCGATTTTTTGAGGATGTCCCGAGCGAAACGGCCGTTTTTGGGCATTGACAGACGGATTTTCGGCAATTTACGGGTGGCCGGCGGGACGGGCCGAAGCCCACTGGGGAGTTCTTTTAGAAAAAGAAGCAAAACCAAAACCTGAAGTATCCAGCACGCCGTGCACCCTTGCAAGCAGGGGGCGGCGGATCCAGTGGCCGTCGGCCTATCCCGCCACCGTGCGTGGGTGGTGGGTCAGAGGCCTCATGGATGCTGGTTGGGATCTCGTGGTTGGCTGGGACTTCTGGGGGCCTCTTGGGCGCCTCTTGGGGCTTCTTGGGGGCCTCTTGGGCCTCTTGGGGCCACTAGAGGGCCTCTTGGGGGTCTCTTGGGAGCCTCTTGGGGCTTCTTGGGGGCCTCTTCTGCGCCCCTTGGGGCCTCTTGGAGGCCTCCTCGGAGCCTCTTGGTGCGGGAGGGGTGGTACTCGAGTTCGGAACCCCCTCGGAGGCCACGATCCTTGTGAGGGGTGTCAAAAAACGCATCCGCCGGAAACTCGCACCCCCCCCCCCCCCCCCCCACCCCCCCTTCCCCGGCAGAGCCACCCCGGCAACCCCCCCAGAGGCTGAGGCTCAGCCTCGAGGCTGTAGCTGAGACTCCTTGAAACTCACACGCCGGATCGGCGGATTTGTTTGGGTATTTTGTTTTTTGGGGTTCTTTTTATTGTTCTGTCAAAATCCGTCTGTAGGGGAACATGCCCGACCTAAGACTAGGTCGCCCTGGTCCCCAGTAGCCCCGTCTGGCCGATGCGCAGGGCCAACAGCGAGGCTGCCCGAGGACCTCGGCTGCACAGTTCTAAACAGGACCAGCACGACCTCGCGTTGCAGGGATGGTTGAGGCGTACTGGGGTGGGCGCGGGGGGTGCTAAGGCAATCCTAGGCGTCATTTACCGCTCAGGGCCCGCTTGCTTTTCTCGATGTGTTTCCTCTTGGTAGGCGCATAATGTTACTAGTCCATAAATGTGTATGTATGTATTGTTCTCGGTCCGTCTCTCTTCCCCTCCCTCCTCCGCCCTCCTCCTCCTTTTCCTCCTCCTCCTCCGCCCCCCTCCTCCTCCTCCTCCTCCGCCCTCCTCCTCCTCCTCCTCGCCCTCCTCCTCCTCCTCGCCCTGCTTTCTCCTCCCTTCCCTTCCTGCCTTCGGCTGCCTGCGGCTGTCGCGCGCCCCGCCGTCGCTGGCCGGCCGCTCCTCCAGAGGCAGGCCGTGGCCGGCAGGAGCGCCCGCGTCCAGCGGCCGGGCGCCTCGGGCGCACTCCTGCCGCCGAGGCGCCCGGTGTACAGAGGAGGGAACAGGTGCTTCAGATTTCGCAAGAAAAGGGAGGGGGTCTGGACCCTCCAAGACAAGCCATTTCAGACCCCCCCCCCCGTGGGAGAGCCCTCCAAAACCTCGTCCCCAGACCCCCCCAGGCCCTGCAAGATAGCCTGGAAGAGACCCCCCCCGAAATGAGACCCCCCTCCATTTCTTACGAAATCTGGAGTAGCCATATCGCTACACCGCACTCACATCTATACCCCTGGGTGGGTGTATGTGCGGCCGTTTTTGCGCTGTCATATGCGCGCATGCCGCATGTGCGCGGCATGTGCCAGTCATGTGCCAGGCCTGTGCGGTCCTTCTTGGATGGACTTCCTACTGTGCACGTCGTGCCCGGGCATGTGCGGGGGCATGTGCGCTGTGTTTTGATGTATCCATCGTACGCACATGCACGCACAATCCGACGCACATGCGCGCACATGCCTGCACATGCGGGAGGTGTTCGAGAATCGCAGATCTGTCATCGGCACATGCACGCACATGCCTGTGCAACCTCTCTTCGGGAGGCCGCGCGGGCCCGCACATGCACGCACATGCGGTGAAGCGCGCGGGCGCACATGCGTGCACATCCCAATGCACATGCACGCTCATGCCCTAGGAGCTGTCTGGGACCCCTGTGCCTCCAATGCCTCCTGGCCTTCGCAGAGCTAACCTGGGGCGTGCCAGGGTTTCCTGAAAGAGTTTGTTGTGCGTTTAGACTCGCCCGCTGCTGGCGGGGGCGGTTATTCGCCCGGTTCGTGAGCTGGCGGTGGCGCGCCCGCCTAATAAAATACTCTCCCGCGCGCCTTCTCAGCTCGGCCGGAGAAGCAGGGATGGGGGGGGGGGTGGAGGGGGGGGGGAGGAGGGGGGGGCGGAGGAGGCGGGCGCCCCCGGCCACTGGCCCGCCTGCCTGTTCGGCTCGGCCAGAGGAGAAGAGGAGGAGGAGGAGGAGGAGGAGGAGGAGGAGGAGGAGGAGGAGGAGGAGGAGGAGGAGGAGGAGGAGGTGAGAGTTGCGAGGATGTCTCAGGCGAAAGTGGCTTGACGGCCCGAGCTCAGGGAATTTCGGAATCGCTGGCCTGGCTCGGCCACCGGCGAGCTCGGCCTGTGCGAATACTGTGCGTACCTGTGCAGTGCATGTGCGGGACGTGCAAGAATGCCGGGGCCGGCGTTCGTCTCCGGACGCCGGCGCGTTCGCGTCCGGCCAGTTCCGCGTGAGACGTCGTCGGCAATTTGGAGGCCGACGTGCTTTGACATGAAGTGATCTGGCCACCTTCGCTTGAGACATCCTCGCAACTCTGGGCTCGGAGATGCCCTGCCCCATGGTGGCCCGGCCACTTTCGCTTGAGACATCCTCGGGACTCTGGGTTTCGAGACGCCCTGAGCTGAGGTGGTTAGACCACTTTCGCCTGAGACATCCTCGCAACTCTGACCTCAGAGATCTCCTGCCCCATGCTGGTCAGGCCACGGTCGCCTGAGACATCCTCGCAAGTCTCGATTCCGATATGCCCCGAGCTGAGGTGGTCAGCCACTGTCGCCTGAGACATCCTCGCAACCCTGATTTCAATGATGCCCTGCTCGATAGTGTCTCGGCCCCTTTCGCCTGAGACATCCTCGGAACTCTTGGTTCCGAGACGCCCTGAGCTGAGGTGGTTAGACCACTTTCGCTTTAGACATCCTCGCCCGAGATGCCCTGAGTTGAGCTGTTCAGGCCACTTTTGCCTGAGACATCCTCGCAACTCTGACCTCAATGATGCCCTGCTCCATAGTGTCTCGGCCTTTTTCGCCTGAGACCCTCGCAACTCTGGGTTCTGAGATGCCCTGAGCAGGTGGTCAGGCCAGTCCTGCCTGAGACATCCTCGCAACTCTGGGCTCCGAGATGCCCTGGGCTGAGGTGGTCAGACCACTCTCCCCAGAGACATCCTCGCAACTCTGACCTCAGAGATCTCTTGCCCCATGGTGGTCAGGCCACTTTCGCTTGAGACATCCTCACAACTCAGACCTCGGAGGTGTCCTGCCCCATGGTCGTCTGGTCACCTTGACCAGCGACATCCTCGCCACTCTGGTTTCCAAGATGCCCTGCCCCATGGTGATCCGGCCACGCTTGCCTGAGACATCCTCGGAACTCTGGGTTGCGAAATGCCCCGAGCTCAGGTGGTCAGGCCACTATCGCCTGCGACATCTCTGCGGCATGTGCGGGCATGTGCGTCTATGCTTTCAGAGTTTTGCTTGACCGTGCATTCGACTGTGCGTCGGACGGTGTGGCATGTGCGCGCATGTGCGGCAATGCTGTTGAGGCTTTTGTATATTTGCATGGGCATGTGCATGCGACTGTGCGGCATGTGCCTGCATGTGCGGCCCCTTCCGGACCACAATTTCAAAGTGAGCACTATAGAAGTGAGCGCTATAGAAGTGAGTCCGGTGTACCCTCCCCTCGCGTTCTCCTTTCTTCCAGCAGTGTCGAAGCGCCCGGGCTCGCCCATAGCCCTGCCAAGCGATGTTCTAAGAGCCTCTGGTGGTTCCCACGAAAGGTTCTTAGAACATTTCTGGCTGGGGCTGTCTTGTCTTAACACAGCGGGTTTATGTTCTAAGAACCTTGTTTTGGTTCTTAGAACATGTTTGGGTTCTAAGAACATTTCGTGGTAGGACTATAGGAATGCCGGGACGGTCGGTCCCTGCTCAATTTTTGGGCCTCCCTGGGCCTTCGTCGTCGCCACCGCTGGATTCGCTTCTGGTGGCGGTGGTGTCGCATGGCCTTCTTCCTACCCCGAGAGAAAAAGACGAGGACAATCGACAGGTGAGCGATGTGTAAGCCCAGATCGGTTGCGCTGCAACTCTCGCACAGCTTGCCCGCCCGAGGGCGCGAGGGCGCCCCTCGCAAAGATGTGTAATAAGTAATGCCGTCTCGCGCAAGACCCTTTGTTTGTCCGTCGCCCCGATTGGATATGTCTAGTCCTCCTAGATGGGGTGCGAGTAGATGGGGTCGGAGGATCGCGCCGCTTCGCCGAGGCCTCGGCGATGCCGCTCGATGTGGGGCCACGGCGCCAATGCATCGGCAGTGCATCGCCGTTGCATTGCCGATGCATCGCCGATGCATCGCCGATGCATCGGCGGTGCGGCGCGATCGTCCGACTCCATCTGCTCGGACCCCACCTGGGAGGCCCTCAATGTGTGTGGGAGAGGAGCAGAGGGAAGCGGGAAAAAATGGCGATGCGTGCGGCACCGTGGGTCAGGACCCGGCCCCCGACGTGGTGATTGTTCCATCTTGCTCTGCACGAGCGAAATGGGTACGGAGAGAATGGGTACAATGCCCAACAGCAGTTCCTGTTCATATTGAACAGGGCTCGCTGTCCGCGCCACCGCGGCCTGTGTCCATTTGGGACACACGGCCGCCTGCCCAACAGCGGCCGCTGTTGGTTTGGGAGAACACTTGGTGTTGGGCATTGTACCCACATTCTTTCCGTGCCCATTTCGGGCGTCCAACCTTGCGGACTCCCAGAGGTTCTTGCTGCAGGGTCAAGCTGTTCGTCCCGAGCGAGCGGTTTTGTGGACGGTCCCAGGGCCTGGTGCAGGCCCCCGGAGGCAGACATGTGTCAATCACTGCCGGTCGTGATTTTGTCACGGCGCGCTGTAGTCTGGGTCAGGAGCTTCGAGTCGGGGATCGACCACAGCATTGATGTACCCCAGAGTTGATTTGCTCGTCGGACCCACGACTTATCTACGTGGTCCTCGCAGGCTCGAGGACAAAACGAATCTTTGGGTGAATCAAGGCTGCAGTGGATCCCCTACTTGGGAATTGGTGCACGGGAGGCGGTGCGTGGGGCTCTTCACAGACCTTCTCCTGAGCGGCGGCAGGGCAGGGGGACCGTGGCCATGGCCAACGAGAAGCCGAACGAGAACGCCTCGCAGCTCCTCGGGGGGGGGGGATCGAGGTGTCATTCATAGCGTACAGTGCTGTGCGACACGTGATGTGACGGCCGACGGGCATACCAGAGGCTGTATTGATCGTTGGGGCGCGCGCTGGGAGCCCCAAGCTGAGGAGACACGACACGCTCCATGACGCCTCGGGGCTCAAGGGACGGAGATCAGTGCAAAAGGGGGGCAGCCAGAGCGCCGCATCTTGCAGGATCCTGCAGGGCCAGGGGCGCACTGAACCGGGTTGGGTGACGGATCTTGCAGGCTCTTGCAGGATTTGGCAGGATCCTGCAAGGCCTGACTGACCTGGGTCTGGATTGACCCGGGCCAGAAGATCCCCGAAGATTCGGGCGAATGGGTCCTTGGCAAAGGGGGTCTCCAAAAGGAATGCAACAGTTCGTGCAACTGTTCGTGAGGATCGTGCTGGATGCGGGCAGAATGCGCTGCGTCCGTGGGAGCGGCCATGCGCCATGAGCCACGTGGTGAGTCGTTGCTCGTGTTTTTGCGAACCCAGTGCGAAAGGCCCCCTCTGCCCGGAACCAAGTAAGTCGACCCTGCAAAATTACACCTTGGCGGTCGAAGGCTCTCGAGCAGCTCTTCAGAGCCCTGCAGCGGGCGCCGTGGAGAGTGCTGATAGAGTGTGGCGAGGAGTGCATACCATGAGGAAGACCGTAAGAAGCAACCTAAAGGTAGACCACTAGGGGGACAAGATTGGATACCATACGGGACCACACGGGATGTCGTCAGGGAGACCATACGAGCGACGCAAACAAACGGGGTCGACTGCGCCGACATCGGCGCGCGAGCTCCCCGCGTAAGGTCGCGCGTAGGCGCCCTCGTCTCCACTGTGGCGCGCCGCGCGGGCAGCCCGCGTGGGCTGCGGCGTAAGTTCGCTATGCCACCTCGCGCAAGACCCACTTCTTTTTGTCGCCCATCTGGATCCTCAAACGGGATACCAGAATCACTGGGCGCGTTCCGCTACTCGCAAAGTGCTCACTCGCAGATGTCCGGAGCACGTGTCTTCCTCTATATGGAATGTATCGTACACCCCCGCGGCGGATCCAGGCCGTTTGCGAGTCGTGATTTTGCGAGTAGTGGAAGGCGCTTGTCGACATAAGCAAGACCAGACGGGAGGTTGCCCGCAAACAGGCCGGGCGGGGCGGCCGTGCGGGCGAGCGTGCCAGAGAGTCCATGCGGGAGACCACGAACCGCCAGTGCACAGAGCAGTAGGCTTACGTCGGGCCTGTCCCTCTACAGGAGGACTATTCAAAAATAGTCAAAAAATAGTCAGGGGACGATGTTTTGACTATTTTTGGGCATTTGGGGGGCATGTTATGATTATTTTCTCATTTGTCATCCAACATCCGCCTGTAGGGGGACACGCCCGACCTAACAGCAGGGTGCAGGAGGCTGCACGAGGCGCGCTTCAATGCCGTAGAGCATCGCGTTCGACATTTCATACTGTAACGACGCGTCCCAATCATGTCATTAAGTGCTTGCGCTTATGTGTGGACGAGTGTGGGTGATGGGAGCTCGATGGGAGGTGCGCCTCTGTGGGTGCAAGAGCGACTCAGTGCCAGATTCCGCGACGCGGGGCTCTCGCGTTGCGGTGGGCTGGGGAGGTTCTACATCACGTTGCGGGAAGAGGTGGAACATCTGGACGGTGCCTCGCAGACGCTGTCTTCTTATCAGGGGAAGGGGGAAGATGATGAGCCTGTTCCACCACCACCACCACCATAAGTTGGAGGGGGGAAGGAGGTGGAGGATGAGGAGGAGGAAGAAGAAGAAGAAAAAGAGGAGGAGGGTCCCCTCCCCCTCCTGTTGATGGTGGAAAACAGGCCCACCAGGAGAGAGAGAGAGAGAGAGAGAGAGAGAGAGAGCAAGAGAGCTCAGACCAGGGTCGGACCGAGCCCCTTGCGGCGCCCAGGGTCGGGGAACAGACCTGCGGCACGACTCGGCCGGGGGTCGGAAAACCATCCGAAGGAATGGAACACGACACGAGCAGGAGGAGGAGGAGGAGGAGGAGGAGGAGGAGGAGGAAGAGGAGGATGGCCTCCCCATCCTCCCTTCTCCCCCGTCCTGCCTGCTCCGAGTCTCTTGAATGGTAAGCGTCGGGGGAGCGTGACCCCCGCCGAAGGCGCTCCGACCCCCGTCGTGGCGCGACGACGAGGGGAGGTTGACCCCCGTCGGAGGGGCCCCCCCACGCTTATTAAGAAATTCAGACTATCGTATTGTGGCTGTGGCAGTGGTGGTGGAGGAGGAGGGCCTCCCCATCCTCCCTTCTCCCCCGTCTTGCCTGTGGCATTGTGGCCGTGGCAGCCGTAGTGGAGCGCTGGCCCACCCTCCCTCCTGCTCCCCCTCCCCCTCCCGCCTTCGCCCTCCTTTGCAGCGCGGCTCGAGGGGCCTCCGTTCCACAGCCAGACGGGCTCGAGGGCGACTTTGGTCGGGTTGGTCGCCCGGAGGGGTTCGGGGCACGATTCGTCGGGGCTTAAGAGACGGGGGTCAGTGCAAACGGGGGTCAGCCAGAGCGCCGAATCTTGCAGGATCCTGCAGGGACAGGGTCGCATTGACCCAGGCTTGGGCGCAGGATCCTGCAGGATCCTTCGCATTGGCCAGGGTTTGGGTGCAGGATCTTGCAGGATCTTGCAGGATTCTGCAAGGCTTAGCTGACCCGAGTCTGGATTGACCCGGGTCAGAAGATCCCCGAATTCGGAGGAACAGGCATCGACATGAAGAGGAGGTTCCCGAGGACCCCCGCGCGGCAGGGGCGGCGCCCGAGGCACCGCCAGGGGCGTCCAACGCCGATGCAGAAAGTCCGCGAGGACCTCCGAACGTGTACAGGCCAATCGTTGAGAGAGTAGGTGGTTTTGGACACCCAGGTCCCGTTATGCCTCAAGCGCCTACTTCATAACCGATGTGCGTATGCCGTTTCCTCGTTTCTCTTCGGATGGGTTCGGGCCACGTTCCCACCCACTTCCCTCGGGGGTTCAGGCAAATGGGGGCCCGTCATAGCGCCGGAGCTTGCAGGAGGAGGAGGAGGAGGAGATGCTGGAGGGGGAAGGGGGGGATGGGAGGAGGGAGGAGGAGGAGGAGGAGAGGAGGAGGAGGAGGAGGAGGAGAGGAGGAGGAGGAGGAGGAGGATCCTGCAGAACCAGGGCTGCACTGACCCAGGCTTGGGTGCGGGATCCTGCAGGAGCCTGCAGCGCCAGGCTGACCCGGGCTTGTGTTGGCCCGGGCCAGTGGATCCCCCATGCGCGCGGAGAGCTTCCACGCGGAGGGTATGTTATCTGCCCCGCCTTTTTACGAGGAGGAGGAGGAGGAGGAGGAGGAGGAGGAGGAGGAGGAGGAGGAGGAGGAGGAGGAGGAGGAGGAGGAGGAGGAGGAGGAGGAGGAGGAGGAGGAGGAGGGAGGGGAGGAGGAGGAGGAGGAGGAGGAGGAGAGGGAGGAGGAGGAGGAGAGAGGAGGAGGAGGAGGAGGAGGAGGAGGGAGGAGGAGGAGAGGAGGAGGAGGAGGAGGAGGAGGAGGAGGAGGAGGAGGAGGAGGAGGAGAGGAGGAGGAGGAGGAGGAGGAGGAGAGGAGGAGGAGGAGGAGGAGGAGGAGGAGGAGGAGGAGGAGGAGGAGGAGGAGGAGGAGGAGGAGGAGGGGAGGAGGGGAGGAGGAGGAGGAGGAGGAGGAGGAGGAGGAGAGGAGGAGGAGGAGGAGGAGGAGGAGGAGGGGGGGGGGGGAGAGGAGGAGGAGGAGGAGGAGGAGGAGGAGGAGGAGGAGGAGGAGGAGGAGGAGGGAGGAGGAGGAGGAGGAGGAGGAGGGGAGGAGGAGAGGAGGAGGAGGAGGAGGGAGGAGGAGGAGGAGGAGGAGGAGGAGAGGAGGATGAGGAGGAGGAGGAGGAGGAGGAGGAGGAGGAGGAGGAGGAGGAGGGAGGAGGAGGAGGAGGAGGAGAGGGAGGAGGAGGAGGAGAGAGGAGGAGGAGGAGGAGGAGGAGGAGGAGGAGGAGGAGGAGGAGGAGGAGGAGGAGGAGGAGGGGGGGGGGGGGGAGGGGGGGAAGGAGGGAGGGAGGGAGGAGGGAGGAGGGAGGGGAGGGAGGGAGGGAGGGAGGGAGGGAGGGAGGGAGGGAGGAGGAGGAGGAGGGAGATGGAGGAGGAGGAGGAGGAGGAGGAGGGGGACCAGTGTAAACCCAAGAGGCGTCAACGATGTTTGAATAAACCCTTCCTCCAAGCTCCATCATCATAGGTCCCTACAACGGTTCAATTCCAATTTGAGGAACTGCCTCTTTGGAAGACAACCGTTTGAAGGCGCTGAGGCATGCCAAAACATTGGTCTCGGGATTCCAACGCCACGTATCAACCTGACTGTTGCGTCTTGACAATCCTGAATCGTGCCAGAACGCCACTCTTGGGACTTCAACACAGCGGATCAACATAAATGTTGCACCAGCATGATTTTGACTCTTTTCAAAAACCTTTCCTGGCACGTTGATGATTAGAATCCGTGGACAGCTTGCACATGTTAGAAACGAGTGTACGCCGCGCTAAGGTGAGAGCCACATGTTGAAAAGGAACCGCCCTCAACCCGTGAAGTTCTTGCAAATGTTTGACACGAGTGTGCGCCGTGCTAAGGCCAGAGCCACATGTTGAAAAGGAACCGCCCTCAATCCGTGAAGCTCTTGCAAATATTCAGAATAAATATGCACCGCGCTAAGGCGAGAGCCACATTTTGAAAACGACCTGCCCTCAATCCGTGAAGCTCTTGCAATTTTGTAAAACGAATGTGCGCCGCGCTAAGGCGATTGCCTCATTTTGAAAACCACCCGCCCTCCGTCTGTGAAACTGTTGCCGATTTTTAAGCCTCCGAGTCATACATATATATATATATATATACATGCTGAGGAAGTCTCAAGCGAAACGCCCGGCCCGCCCTAAAAACTGGCTTCGGGGTGCGACAGGGAGAAGTGATTGATACGGAAAAGGAAAGGAGGAGGGAGGAGGCGGAGGAGGGTGTGGGGTAGGGGGAGCGACGAGGGGGTGTGGTCTGGAGGCTGTGTTGTGCGGCGCGTGCGGGCCACCTGGGCAGGAGCCCAGCCTCTTGGGCCGCCCGCCGCCGGAAGGTAAGCACACCATCTTCGGCTCGATCGCCGAGGGGCAGGACGTCCTGGACAAGATCAACAATGCGATGGCGGGGGCGTCGGGCCGCCGGTGCCGCACGGTAGGTTCGCGTCGTGTCGACTGGCGGCGACCCCAGCGCGGGCGCGTAAGGTTGAACGCCGTCCGTGGCCCAGAATCGGCCCGTCGTTGACCGATCCGGCGTTACTGGAACGGCCGATCGTTCAAGTTTGAAGGATCCCCGCGGTGTCGGGAATCAACGCCCGGGTCGACACGACGCGAACGTGCCGTAGACGGGCCAACGTCGATGGATGTTCTTGTGCTCATTGGGGGAGGGCACCCTCGGATGTTCTCCAGGTAGGCCGGCGGAGGGCCTCATGTTCTTGGAGGATGTTCTTCCGTCCTAGGTCTGGCCGTATCGACCCCCATCACCGTGGACGGGCTAACGGCGATGTGGGTAACGGCGGCGTGTGCTTCGGTACTGTGGGAACGTGTGGCTCGCGCTCTCCTGCAGTTCGCTGTGTCGTGCTTGCTCGCTCCATTCGCGGATTGGAGATGTAGGAAAGTGTGGTTCGTGATTCCCTACACTTCGGTTCCCAACATCACCGTCAATCAACATCGCCGTTAGCCTGGCCTTGGTATGGGTGGTGGGTGAGGAGGAGGAGGGGATGCTGAGAAGAAGAAGGAGGAGGATCGAAGGAAGACAACCGCGTAGGCACAGAATGTTGGGGCTCTGCACGAATTTCTTGGATCTGCGCTGGCGCGCTTGGCCGAAGCCTCAGGTTCTTGCTTGTGAAAGAAAACCAAAGCCAAGCTGTAAGAAGTCGCCTCCGTATGCGATCTTGGACGGCCGTTTTGGCCGACTTGGAGGCCATTTTGGGCCACCTTGGAGCCATCGGGAGCGGGGAAAAACGTAGAAACGTTTGCAAACGCCTCTGGAAGAGTTTTCTGGGTGGCCGGCGGCATGCGCCGAAGCCCCCGGGGGAGCTCTTTCGGAAAATAATCAACACCGACAAAAAGGTAGGGTCTAGCACTACGTCGGGCATGTCCCTCTACAGGAGGAATATTCAAAAATAGTCTAATATAGTGTGGGGACGATGTTTCGACTATTTGTTTTGCTATGTTTGCACACTGTTTGAGTATTTTTGATTTTTCGTCCAAAATCCGCCTGTAGGGGGGCATGCCCGACTTAAGTCTAGCACGCCAGGCACCCTTGTGATAAATTAACAAGGGGGCGGCGTATCGTGGTATTCGGCCCGTCCCGCCATCGTGCCTGGAATTTTGGGGGTCGGAGTCTTCCGGGATGCCTCTCGGGGTCTCTTCGGAGCAGCCGGGGGCCTCTCAGGGGCAGTTTGGAGGGCCCCCTTGGGGGCTTCTTGGGGGCCTCTTGGGGGCCTCTTAGAGGCCTCTTCTTGGAGGCTTCCTGGGGGCCTCTTTGGGGCCTCCCTGGAGGCCTCCCTCGGAGGCCGAGGGCCTGAACTGTTCGTGCGTCCGGGTCCCCCGTCTGGGCTGCCTCCTGCAGCATTCCTGGGGGCCTCTTGGGCCGTCTTGGAGGCCTCTTGGGCTGTCTTGGGGCCATCTTGGGTCGTGATTAGGGGAACAACAAGTGGCATAAACATACAAACAAACTCGGAGGTCCGTGCAGATTTCTCGGATCGGCGCTGGGGCCCCCCAGCGGCGCCTCCGGCGCCGCCCCTGGCGCACTCCGCGCGCCAGGGAGGGGGGTCCAGCGCCGATCCGAGAAATCCGCGCGGGCCTCCGAGTTTTTATGTTTATGTGACTTTTTGTTCCCCTAGTGATGGGGTTCATCGGAGGCCTCTTTGGCCGTCTTGGGGCCATCTTGGGCGCCGGTTTGGCCGTCTTGGAGCGTCAGGAAGCCGAAAAAAGGCGACGCCTTCAAAACCTCTTTCTGAACATCTAACTAACGCGGAGAAGCAATTAAGACTCCCCCCAGCGTTATCATTAGCACCGCACCGTAATTAAATAATTATTTGGGGGGTTTTCGCCGAACGATATATAGCACCGCGCAAATGGAAGGAAAATAAATAAATCCTGCGCCCCGCCTCGGATGGCATCCCAACTGGAATTGTAATAAGAATAAGAATGCGAATAATAATAATACGAATAAGAACAATAATAAGAATAAGGCGAGTGTTACAGGTACTGCTGACACCGTAACTGTTACTGCTACCGTGATGACGATGATGATGCTGATGACGGCGATGGATTCGAAGCGGCCTGGGCAGGCGACCGGAACTCCAGCCTGAAGTGCGCTGAGCGAGTCCTCAGCTTGAAACCATGTGAGGATGTCTCAAGCGATTTGGTTTATTCTACTAAGAAAATGTAAGGATGTCTCAGGCGATTTGGCCAATTCTAGTAAGAAATGTGAAGATGCCTCAGGCGATTTGGCCAATTCTATCTAGAAATATGAGGATGTCTCATGCCATTTGGCCAATTCTACTAAGAAATGTGAGGATGTCGGAGGCGATTTGGCAAATACTACTAAGACATATGATAATATCTGATGCAATTTGGCAAATTCTACTAAGATATGTGAAGATGTCTCAGGCGATTTGGCAAATTCTGTTAAGAAATGTGAGAATGTCTCAGAAGATTTTGCAAATGCTAATAAGAACTGCGAGGATGTCTGAAGCGATTTGGCCAATTCGATTAAGAAATGCGAGGATGTCTCAGGCGATTTGGCCAATTCTATTAAGACATGTGAGGATGACTTAGGCGAGTCGGCCGATCCGCCTGGTCGCCGTCGCCGTCGCCATCGCCGTCTCCTCCTCCTCCTCCTCCTCCTCCTCCTCCTAGCCACAGGTGCCAGAATAACGCTTCCAGGGTGCGGGACGGTTATCGTTTCGCCGGAAGGGGGGGGGTTCTGTAATTGCTTCTTCGGGTTACACCAGCCCATCCAGAAACGATGCCCAGCTGAGTTGCCATGATCAGGGATATGGCTGATAACGCAATGGAATAAAGGGCTAGGAAAGACGTCGTAGCCCATGTAGGAGGTATCGGAGGAGGAGCACGAGGTGGAGGAGGAGGAGGGAGAGGGGGAGAGGGAGGAGGTAGGACAAGCTAGGTGCGCTCGCGTCATATCTGACGTCCTACCCCTCCCTCCCATCCCTTACCATGGCGCTGATTTTCTCTATCCGCGGACGCGTGTCGTAGCGGACCTGTGGCTCGCGCGCGCGTGCGTAGTGGGTGGTGGTGCGCGTGCGTGCCGTGAACTGCGGGCGTGTGGCGTGGTTGTCGTGGTGGTGGTGGTGGTGGTGGTGTGGTGGTGGTGGGTGGTGGTGCTGTTGCTGGTGGTGTTGGTGTGTTGGTTGCTTGTGCTGGTGGTGGTTGTGTTGGTGGTGGTGGTGGTGGTGGTGGTGGTGGTGGTGGTGCGGCGCGGTGGTGGCGGGCGGATGGGCGCGCGAGAAAGAGGCCCGCGCTGGGGCGAGAACGCCATCCTGAACGACGGAGGCCAAACACCGATCCGAAAATGAGGCCCACGCTGCAGCGGGAGCACGATCCGGAACGATTCGGGAGCAGAAAAGAGGCCGGCGCCTCAGCGAGAGCAGCATTTTGGAAAAAAACGCAGGCGAAAACCCGTTTCCCGGGAATCCTGTGCGTAAAAAACAGTACGCGGGGGGGGCGGATATTTTCGGGACGCCATCAGGGGAAGTGGGAGAGTATTTTCATATTGTGTAATTGTGGAGGGGATAAACCTTTCCCCGAAGGGAAAGAGGGAAGATGGAAGATGGAAGAGGAAACTCCCTAAATCACTCACGCCAGAGGGCTGGTGGGATTTTGCCTTTCTACCTCTCGGTTGGCCTTCTGGAGCGGCCGCCAGGGAGCCAAGTTATGACCCGAAATCCAGGGGGGCAACGTAAGGGGCGTCTCATTGATCGTGGAGACCCCTTTGGAACCACTGGGTTTTTTTAGCTGAGTCCATCCTGGACGGGATGCGTCCAGTGGTCTGGCGGCAGCGCTCTTCTTGGACCCATCTTGGGGGCCTCGAGGGAATCGTGGGGCCAATGGCATGCTCCTCTTCGGCCGTCTTGGCCGCCTTGGAGACCGAGAAGGGGAGAATGTTCGAATCGTGCACGGACCACGTGGCGCTCCGGTGTCGTCCTGGCCTCCATGGCATGGAAGGGGCCAGATGCGCCCCCGAGGGGACGGACCCCCGCGGACCAATTGAGGGCATATTGGAAGCTTCTGGGGTCCGTACGAACGCCTCTTGGGGCCTCGGGGTAAGCTCACGCGAGTGCAACTTGAGCTCGCACTCAATGGTGAATTGTACATGGCACCCAGCGCTAGTGGCACGGTGGCGGATATGTTCTGCGTTGAAGAACCCTTTTTCGTGCAACGTGTTGTTTGTCCGATTTTTTGTGCATGAGAGTTTGACTACACCGTGCATCAGTCATATGACCTTGGCTCCTAAGCCGATCTCAACGGCATGTGTTTCTCATTCGCATCTGAAGTGTTCGAGGTGGCGTTGTTGCAAAATCTGTCCTGCTTTCGATGACCAGCGAGTCTTGCGATGTAGATTGGGCTGCAGGTGGACGAGAATAATGCTCCCTTCCAGAACATCCGCATCTGGCATACCGAGGCCTCGCAGCCGCTGGCGATATGTTAAGCCACTATGTGCGTCTTCATCTTGCTATCACATTCTCGAAGTTCCAGCCACTGTCGCTATGTGATAGCGTCGCCTCGCAATGTGCACACATGCGTAAGTCGTTGTGTAACAAGTGCAGTGTGCCACACTTTGTCCCAGCGCGATACACTGTATTGCAATGGGGTACAGTGGCGTGAGTGAATCTAGGTATTCGTGGTGTGCGTCGGGTGGACTCTGGCAAATGAACGAGCGAGCAGGCGGGAATGGGTGAAGAGGACGCTGTCAGCCTTTGATCGCTGAATTCAGCGACGCAGTCCCCAGCCGGGGGCAAGCGTCTCGAGCTGCGGCAGAGGACTTCCGAGATGAGTTCCCGCTGGGGGGGCGGACGCGGAAGCGGAGGGACTGGTCCGGGATTCTCCCCCCCCTCTTGCGCTCCTGAAGGCAGAGATTGGCCGAGTTCTCGATCTGCAGTCGTCTCCTGTCTCTCCTGATCGGTACCGGCCGCGGCGCGGAGCTCAGAGGTCGGGACCCTCGAGACGGGGGTCAATGCAAACGGGGGTCAGCCACGGCACCGGATCCTGCAGGATCCTGCGAAGACCCCCTCTGGCTGTCCCGGGTTAGGGAGCCGCTCGTGACCGCGAGGCGGCCGCGCGTATTGGCTGACCCAGGTCTGCGAAGACCTGCGGTGCAGTTTTTTGTTCCTGCATTGCAGTTATTGGTTTCCTGCTGACCCGGGTCTGGATTGACCCGGGTCAGAAGATCCCCGAAGAGGAGGGCCGGTTGAGATGGCAGCGGTGAGGCACCGGTGGCCCTCCCGCTCCGCCCAAAGCTGCTCCAATGGGTCCCAGGTGCTTGGCATCGCTCGGACGTGTGCATTTTTCCTTCGGCAAGAACCATCGAGGAGCATCTGTGATCACTTCCCGAAAAAACCACGCACGAAACCAAACGAAACACAGGGAGTGGACGTCCGAGCGATGGCCAGGGGGTCCACGCGCGCAGGAGTGCCTGGCTGGGTTCCGCCGTGGCGGCGGGGGGCCCCCCCGAAGGCCGAAGAGCCACCGCTATCTCATGTTGCCCTCCTCCGAGGAGCGTGGGACGCTCTGCAACAGACAAGTTTCAGGAGGGGAGAAAACACACAGACACAATTAATCGTCGATTACGAAGAAATATGGGAAAATATGGGCAGTGGAGGGGGGGGGAAGACAAACATCCAGAAAATATATGAAAATATGGGGAATAGTTTTATTTGTGTGTATTTACTTGTGTGTCCTGGGGCCCCTTCAAAGTTGTCAATGCCGCCGCTCGTATCCTTCGCCACCCCGAGTCGCATCGACGCCCCTTTCAAGCGCAGCAGGGGGGCCAACCCGCCGCGGCCCTCGTGCGCACGACGGCCTCCGCACGGGCGGCCCTTCCGCGACGTCGGGACATGCTGCAGCCGGCGCGGAGGAGGGGAGAGGAGGGGGCTGTTGCTGCTTGCGGCTGCTGGACGGTTCAAACAATGGCCCACCCTTTCGAGTGGAAGTTCCCACTTCTGCAGGTGACTACTTACACTTGAGACTGAGCTTTGTACAGATCGGCGAAGATGTGAGCGTGGGCGAGGAGAGTGGAAGGAGGAGGAGAAGGAGGAGGAGGAGGAGGAGGAGGCGAACTCGGAGGAGGTTGAGGAGGTGGAGCAGCAGGAGGAGGAGACGCCGGAGACGGAGGCGCAGGAGGATGAGGAGGCGGAGGAGGAGGAGGAACAGGAGGAGGATAGACAGGAGCAGTTGAAGGAGGAGACGGAGGCGCAGGAGGATGAGGCGGAGGAGGAGGAGGAGGAGGAGGAGGAGCAGGAGGAGGTGCAGGAGGAGGAAAGGACTGCAGGAAGGAGCCCCCCCGGCGGGCTCTGGCCTTGCGGCCTCCTCTCGGCCAACCACGGAGTATTCCACCGCGGGGCGCCGCGCACACGGGGGCGGGAGCCGGGCAGCTTTTGGCATCGCTCGGGCGCGTGCGTGTGTTTCCGGCGAGGGCCATCGAGGACCAGTCGAAGTCATCTTGCGAAGAATATGCGCACGAAGCCCAAGCATGCACGGGGAATGGCGATCGCTCTCTTGGGCAGCGCTTTGCCGATCGGCGCGGGCCTTCGCACCCCCCCCTCTCCCCACCCCCTCTTGGGGAGTCGATCTTGGGCGTTTCTGGCGCCTGTCTCAGGCAGGTGGAGGCTCCCCCTCACTGCAGGCCGCACTGCTGCGAACAGTCGCACTAAGCAGAGGTCCAGAGCCAGAGCCCCCCCTGTCGAAACGCCGAGTAAGAAAACGTTCGCATGGACGTCCGAGGGATGGCCAGCGAGGGGGAGCTGGGCATGGGGCGGGCTGTCGGCCGGCCATTCATCGGTGACGCGTCCTGGCTTGCCCATGGTCGGCGGCGAGCCCAGGGACAGAGCGTGGGAGTTCCGGGCTCGAGGCTCAGTTTTTCGGTAGTTTTAGGCCCCTTGCTCCTCATCCTAGCAGGCGGGCGTCTGATCCTCGCTTTGAGGCCTTCGATGGCGCGTTGAGGTCAACAAAAAAAACTCGGAGGCTTTCCAGCCTCGGGGTGCCTTCAGGCAGCTGCGCCTCGCCGAGGGCGTCTGGGGGGTGCCGGAATCCCGAGCGGCCGCCGGAGATTTGAGTTATTTCCCGAGAGCGCGCGCCGAAGGGGGCAGTGAGGAGAAGGCCCGCTCAGAAGGCGGCGGGGCTTCGCAGAAGCCCTCCGGCTGGCCTTCTCCGAAGTTTTATGTGTCTTCGGGGGAGGGTTAATAAAGTGTCTCGGAATGCCGGGGGACTTCCGAGCGTCCTGAGGAGGCCCGGCCCCCTCAGATCCCCCCCAGGCTGGCCGCCGAGAGTGAAGCTCTGCGTGTGTGCGCGCGTGTGTGTGTGTATATATATATATAAGTGTACAAGTGTGTGAGTGAGTGTGTGTGTGTGTGTAAGTGTGTGTACGTGTGTGTAAGTGTGTGTAAGTGTGTGTAAGTGTGCGTAAGTGTGTTTGCAAACACGTGAGCAACGGCACGAGCGTGCGCTAGGTAGAGTACTTGCGCGCCGCTGCTTTCCAGGAAGCGCGCCCGAATCTGAACTGCCCCAGCCAGAATCACGACAGGTCTTCTTCCCAGCATGCTCAAACCATTATTTTGCCCACGCCCACGACAAGCCTGGCTTGCCTATATGACCACCAAGACATGTTCTTAGAACGTGTTGGGGTTTGCACGAAGTGTTCGTAGAGCATTTCTGGTGGAGGCCGCCCGGTTAGATCATCCGCCCCATGTTATGAGACCAATGTGTTCGTCACTCGAGCTTTCGTCGTTGAACATTTCGTGATGGGCCTGTGGGAATGCCTCGACGGTCGGCTCCTGCTGAAGTCAGGGACAACGTTAGCGGGGATAGGTAAGAGCTTCCAATATTTTTCAGGTAGGAACTTCTAAGAAATTCATCGATTCTCGTCGGCTTTGTAGCTTCGGGGCTTCGGGGTGCCTTCCAGCATCTGCGCCTCGCTTCCCCGGGGCCGGCTGTTCGTGCTGGGACTCCTTTCTGGGCGCTCCCGAGGCCCTGCGAGGGCCCCAAAGGCCGAGAACGGCCCAAAACCGCCCGCTCCGATTTTTCCTGCAGCGTCTGACCTTTGGGGGCCATTTTGCAGGACAGGCTTCCGGGACCGGGAGGAAAATCGCGGCCATGTCAGCCCAGGGGCAGGCTGACAGGCACCGGCCACGGGCAAGCGGCGCAGAGCAGCATTTGATGGGCCTGTTTTCCACCACCACCACCAGAAGTTGACGGGGGGGAAGGAGGCGGAGGACGAGGAGGATGAGGAGGAGGAGGAGGTGGAGGAGGAGGAGGAGGAGGAGGAGGAGGACCCCCTCCCCCTCCAACTTATGGTGGTGGTGGTGGAAAACAGGTCCATCAAGTACCCAGACCCCCGACGTCATGCGTTTGTGATGACGTCGACCCTCGAGGGTCTCGACCCTCGGTATCGTTTAACCAATCCCCGATCCCCATCCCCATCCCCATCCCCTTCGAGGCCCCCATCAAATTACCATCGCAGTTGGGGATACACGCCTCGAAACCCGAAGGGAACGACCTATGTCCCAATCTAGGGGGGTAAATCGGCCAGTGGGGCCCAGACCACGCCGCTGGGGATAGGGATCGATAAAACGATACTCAGACCCATTCCCCTGGGCCAGTTTCTCATCCTGAGTCGTTTTTTGACGGTCCCGAGGCCAGGTGAGGGCCCCCAGAGGCCGAAGATAGCGAAAGACCTCCCGGCATGATTTTTTCATTGCCCGAGGGGGTCTGGTTAGACCGTTGCATTGCGAGTGAAGGCTAGGTTCAACGTGGTGCAAGCAATATGTGCGGCGTAGGCTGTGTGGTGTGAAAGATGCGGTGCAGGCTGTGTTTAGGAGAGAAGCAAAGACGTACGCGGGCATGGATCCACTCTGGTTTCGAGAAAACGCGTTGCGCGAGTGCTCGTATCACGCGGCCAGCCTCGTGGATCGAGGCGCCGTGTTCGTGTACATTGTTTGGCGCGTACGTCCTAGCGTGGGTGCCCCATATGTAGTGTAAGTTATGTAGTGTGTGTGAGTGCTGTAAGTTATGCAGGGCAAGCTACGCAGTGTAAGCTATGTGCTACAAGCTGTGCGGTGCAGCCTATGTTGTGTAATATGTGTTGTGAGAGTTGTGCGGTGCTCGCTGGCTCGTGCCAGTCGCGTGGTGCAGGCCTTTTACGGCACAGCCTGTGCGATGCAAACTGTGTCTTGGCATCGTTCGGACTTGTGCATCTGCCATTCGGCGAGGACCATCGAGGAGCATTCTGAATCACTTGGCGAACAAGCCACGCACGAGACCGAAAAAAAACACAGGGAATGGACGTCCGAGCGATGGCGAGGTGTGCGGTGCTCGCTGGCTTGTGCCAGTCGCGTGGTGCAGGCCTTTGCGGCACAACCTGTGCGATGCAAGCCGTGTGGGGCGAGCTGTGCGATGCAGTCGACGTGGCGACCCGATGAAAGCTGTGCGGCCGCCCAGCGCACGCGGCGCCCCCGCCGCGAGGCGCTTGCCGGGCGCCCACGGGCCGGCCGGCAACGGGCAAGCCTCCGGCAGGCCCGCCCCAGCGCACGGAGCGCGCGCGAGGCGGCCACCCGCGGGCACCGGGCGAACGCTCGGCCCTGGGGGAGCAAAGAGTGGCATAATAACCAAAGAAATACCCCAGACATGGTCGAACAAGTCGTCCCCTGAGCATCTCTTGACTACTTTTGAGCGTTCCTAGGGGAACAAAGAGTGGCAGAAACATAAAAACTCGGAGGTCCGCGCGGAGTTCTCGGATCGGCGCTGGGGCCCCCCGGCGGCGCCTGCCACCGACTGGGCACCCAGCCACACCCAGCCAACGATTGGTCAAGCGCACTGAGACTCTCTATAGTCGGGGCGCTGAAGAAGGAACCCTTGTCGTTGGGGAGGGGCTGCGTGCTCCTCAACTGTTTCACAGGTTGCCTCAAGTGTTGCTTAAGAGTTCGATGGGAAGTCGAAGTTTAACGAATGAAAAAAGGGGCCTCGTTCCTCATGTAGGGTTCCTTGGGTCAACGCCCCGACTGTAGATGCACGTGCTGGTGGGGGAAGCGTTGGCGCCCTCCGACCCAGGAGACCTCCCAGAACCTGAGGAAGCGAGCGGCAGCCGCACAGACCCTCGTTTTGGGCTCTCTCTCCCGCCGGTCCTTGCTTCCTCCTCTTCCTCCTCCTCTTCCCCCTCCTCCTCCTCCTCCTCCTCCTCCTCCTCCTCCTCCTCCTCCTCCTCCTCCTCCTCCTCATCATCCTCATCCTTTTCCTCCTTCCCCTCCTCCTCCTCCTCCTCCTCCTCCTCCTCCTCCCCTCCTCCTTCCCCTCCTCCTCCTCCTCCTCCTCCTCCTCCTCCTCCTCCTCCTCCTCCTCCTCCTCCTCCAGTACCATTTTGGCTCACGCGCGCTCGCTGCTGGCCCCGCCGCCGACGCGCCGACGCCTGGTACGGCGATGGCTGCCCGCGCGGCACCGCTCGAGGGCGCGCGCGGCGCGCTCCTCGCGGTCCACGCCGCCGCTGGGCTGGCGGCCCGCGCCCCCGCAGGCGGCCGCGAAGCGGTGCGCCTGCTGCGCGCAGCTGAGGGCCTCCTCCGCACGGCCGTGGCCGTGCTGGCGGCGCCGCCGCCTGCTCCCGCCCCGCCTGCTGAGGCGGCCGCGCCACCCGCCGCCCCGCGGCGGCGGCGCCGCCCGCGCGGACGAGGCCGAGGAGCAGCCGCGGACATGGCGCCGCTCGACATGGAGGTGGTCGACGACGGGGGCGGGGCGGCGGAGGGTGCCGTGCGGGGCGCTGCGGCTCCCGATCCATCGCCCGTGCCGATGTTGGAGGACGACAGCTGGGCTGATGCTCTGCCGTTGGTGCAGCGGAGCCGCCCGCCATCCAGCGCGGCCTCGCGCGAGGGCAAGGGCAAGAACACGGGCAAGGGCGGCGAGCACTTTGGCAAGAGCAGGCACGCTGGATTGGAGATCTGGCAGCTTCGGAATCTCGTCCGCAGCCTGGCGACGCGCGCGAGGCTCCCCAAGGTGCCCGAGATCCCGTTCGACCGCGACGAGCTGATCGCAATGGCCAGCAACTTCGAGGAGATGCTGACCGCGTACGACGGCCCCCGCGCAGGTCGCGGCTCGGGCACGTGACAGGCGAGCTGGGCGTCGGCATCGGTATGCCCGTCGCGCTCGGCCTCGCGGCCGGGGGCCCTAGGCAGCCGCACGGCGCAGGGCCCCCGTTCCGGGGAAAGCCGTCGACTGCATGCAGTTCACGGTCGGGGGGTCTGGCTCCTCAGGTGGAGACCAGGCCCCCCGCGGCGGGAGGGTCGGCACCGGCTCCTCCTGAGGCTCGTGCATCCTCCTCCTCCTCCTCCTCCTCCTCCTCCCCCTCCTCCTCCTCCTCCCGCTGCCGGTTGGGCGCTTCGCGATGGGGGGGCGCTACATTTAGAGGGGGGGATCGAGTGGTGCAGGAGGAAGGGGCCCCGCAGGGGACCCAAATGTGCACGAAGGGTGCCCGTTTCTCTTCGCCGCCCCCACCGTTGATCCTCCGCGGAGGACTTGCGTGCACCGTGCCGCGCTGGCGTCTCCCAAGGCGTCGCCAACCTCAAGCCAGGAATGGTCTGGTGCCTCAAGCCAACCTCAAGCCAGGAAGGCGTCGCCAACCTCAAGCCAAGCCGGTGCTTCTTGTTCTTCTCCCCTCGGAGTCGAAGCGCTGTGCACCGCGCCGTGTTGGGGAGGGGCAGGCATGGCACGGTGCATGGGCGCCGTTCTCGCGCACCGCCCCCCCCCCGCCAGACCACCCCAACCCAACCCGAGGGCCTCAATGTGCCCCCTCCATTGCCAGTGTGTGTGGGGGGGGGGGGGGGGTCGGAGAGCACTTAGAAAACGTGTGTGTATATATACATGTGTATATATATACACACATATATACATATAGATACACATGTAAGAACATATATATATATATATAGAGAGAGAGAGAGAGAGATATTCATATATGTATGGAACCCGTACCCCCCAACAAAAACCCGACATTCAGGTCTTCGGGCTGGGTTGGGGTGGCCTGGTGGGTTGTCAACATCGCCCCCCCACGAAGCGGCGCCCCAACAAACCAAGATCCTCGACGACCCGTTCGACGACCCGGACGGCCTGGCCCCGCTGATCCCACCTAAGTCGCCAGAGGTCATCAAGGCGGCTCCGGCCGGCCGCCCGCGGCAGAGCGGCCGGCGGAGCGGGCAGATCTGTATTGTTTGGCCTTCTAGATGGGGCCCGAGTAGATGGGGTCGGAGGATCGCTCCGCATCGCCGATGCATCGGCGACGCAGCTCGATGTAGATCCCGATTTTTTCCACGTCGACGTCGCCGATGGGCGCCGACGTCGCAGGTGAATCGCCGGTTCGGCGCGATCCTCCGACCCCATCTACTCGGACCCCATCCAGGAGGCCTGTAGTATCCGAGCTCTTCGCGGATCAGTGGCCACGACAGCGGAGAAAAAGGCCCAGACGGAGTTTCGAGTCTCGAGGTTCCAGGTTTTCGTATGTTGTCGTCGGTTCTCGGGGGTTTTGCAGCCTCAGGATGCCTTCCAGCGGCTGAGCCTCGTCGTGAGCGTTCCGAGGGCGTCGGGATCGTCCCCAACGGCCGCTAGAGGCCCGAGTTTCTAGGCCTCTCAGATAGGGTCGGAGTAGATGGGGTATGTATCGGCGATGCAGCTCGATGCGGAGCCCGATTCTCTTCACGCGGACGTCGCTAGTGCATCGCCGACGCGGCACGGTCCTCCGACCCGACCTACCTACTCCGACCCCATCCCAGAGGCCTTCAGAGGTTTGGCCCGAACACCACCAGGGCCTGAGCTCAGGGGGTAGACGCATCGACCCCCAATCATCTCTTTGTCGCTAAGAGGACCCCGAGGTCCCTCCCCGCCAAGGACCGTGTGGTTTCGCCATCGCGGGCCTGTCGCCGATCTATCGGCGATGTGTCGCCGATTCCATGTTGACCTTTCCTCCCCAGGAGCCTGTCCCCCCCTGACGTTGTCTCTCAGGATTGGGTCAGGATATGGAGCGGCACAGAGCTTGCGCGGTCATGCGCGATGACGCCCTTGCGTTCCCCCCGCCAGGAGTTGCCGCGAGAGCGGCCCGCGTTAGCCGCCAGAGTCCCGAGGTATGGCCTAAAAACCACCCCCAGGGGTTACATTCGGGCCGCTGAAGAAGGAACCCTTTCCCTTCGGGAGGGGCTGAGTGTTTCGTAATAAGTTTTCTATGCGACATCGAATCTGAACTAATGGAAAAAAGTGGCCTCGTTCCTTGATTTGGGCCTTCTTCTGACGGCATTCCGATTGTATGGCCTAAAAACCAGCACCGGAGGTGAGGCTCAGGAGGGAGCCCATCGACCCCCCATCGCCCCTCGGTCGCCGATCGGGGCCCGGGCGCCCCGTCCTGCGCAGCAGCGCACGGCTTCCTGCTAGCGGGGGCCCGTCGCCGATCCATCGGCGCGATGCCTCGCCGATCCCCGAGTCTACGCTTCCCCCCCCTCGCTGCAGTCCCCGCCGCAGGGGCACCGGGTCCTGAGGGAAACCCGTCTTGAGGTTTTTCTCCGTTGCTGGCTCCCCGGGGCCCGAGCAGATGGGGCCCGAGCAGATGGGGCCGGAGGCTCGCGCCGCATCGCCGCCGCGTCGACGAGGCGGCCTGATGTGCAGACCGTGCTTCCCCACGCCGACGTCGCCGATGCCTCGGCGAGGCAACGGCGATGCATTGGCGGTGCGGCGCCATCCTTCGACCCCATCTGCTCGGGCCCCATCTGGGAGGCCTCTGAGGAAAGACTGGTCTTGGGGGGAGGGCCCCAGGGCGCAGGACCCGCTCCCCGCATGACTCCTCCTCCTCCTCGCCCACCTCCTTCTTCTCCCTCCTTCCTCCTCCTCCTTCTCTTCTTCCTCCTCCTCCTCCTCACCTCCTCCTGCTCCTCTTCCTCTGCCTCCTCCTCCTCCTCCTCCTCCCCCTCACCCTCCTCCTCCTCCTCCTCCTCCTCCTCCTCCTCCTCCTCCTCCTCCTCCTCCTCCCCCTCACCCTCACCCTCCCCTTTCTCGTCGGATATCGGACATCGGGCATCGGCCTGCAGTCGAGGTGCCGCGGGGGCACAGGTTTCCCCCTGCCAAAAGTCCCCCCGCCTCGTCGTTCTCCCCGCACGCTTCTCTCCCCTCTGCGTCCCGAGTTCGTGTGGGAGTCGCTTCCTGCTTTGCGGCTTCGCTGCTTGCTCTTCGGCTTCCCAGTCGGGCGTTTTGTTGCAATGCCAGGTTGTCCGAAGGAGCGCTTACTGCGCACCCATCTGCCCGCGCGTGCTGCCAGAAACCCCGCTCAGTGTCGGCAGTCGGGCCGAAGCGCCGTGCCGCGGGCTGGCGCATGGCTTCTGCTTTTGCAGATGAGGAAGTCTTGAAGAACAGCGCAAGTCTTTAAGAGATATCGAGGAAGTGTCCAGCGGGAGTCGGTGTTGTACTAGTTCAGGTGCCAACGAAGCAGTTTTGAGACCCAAGATATTCCCTTGTAAGAATCAGGGTGCGAGCTCTGGGCGGGGCATTTAAAGTTTCAAATCGCAATGGGCACGGAGGGGGATCAGCAATAATTGTTCTTTGGTCAGGATTGAGAGTTCAACAACAAAAACAATTCAAAGAGGGCTCGTTTTCCATTGGTCACGGATCGTTCAACATGTGTCTCACAAACCTTCGGTACGTTTTGATCGTGTTCCCCCGTGATGATGTATTTTCCTTTGCTGTCTCGTGTAAGTGGCGCAGCCCTTAGAACAGGAATAACACAACTTATGGGATAGTGAGGGCAAGGAGGAAGGTAGCTTAGGGAAAGATGGATGAGGGAAGGAGGCAAGAGGGAGGGCGGGAGGAATCATATCGAGGACGAGAGAGATTAGCGAGATGGGACCCCAATGAAGTCTCAGGCGAGAGTGCGTTTCCTGATTCAAGTCTGAGCAAGTCTCGAGCGAGAGCTCGATTCCAGAGCGCTGAGAGAATGATCCGTGAATACAGTGTATGGAAATCTTGGGCGAGAGCGCGATTCAAGTGTGATGGCTGAGGAAGGCTTTAGCGAAAGCCTGGTTTTTCAATCAATTGTGAGGAAGTATCTGGCGGGAGCCGTTGTTGCTGTGGTTTGGGGGCCAACAGCACACTTTGACGCGCAATAGTTCCCCTCGTACAAAACAACGTCCGAGCCCCAGGAGGGGCACTCCAATTGAACAGTCACACGGTGCACGGGGGGGATCAGAAGGTCGAGTTCAATGACAACAGCCATGACTTCGAGACTATTCGCTCTCATCTGCTCGCGTGCCAGTCAACATGCAGATCTCAAATTCTCGATGCCCGCCCGCGTCCTCTTCGATTGTACCCCCTTGGGGGTAGATCTTCCTTACCTGCCACGTGTAGTCGGCGTAGCCTCTGGCACAGGATGATTAGGGGAACGGGAAGTGATCATTTTCCTATTCATTGTTTTTCCCGATCGGCGCGGGCCCTCGCACCCCCTCTCCCCCCGCCATGGAGTTGATCTTGGCTGTTTGGGGCGCCCGTTTCAAGCAGGTGGAGTCTCCCCCGTAGGAGTAGTCGCGTTCGGCAGAGGTCTGGAGCCAGACCCCCCCTTCCCCCGCCTTCCGCCCGATACCGAAACGCCGAATAAAAAAACGTCCACCAAAAAAGGATAGAGAGAGGGAGAGAGAGAAAGAGAGCGCGGAGGCAAGGCGTGCATCAGACGGGGCCAGGACGAGGATACGTCCGTGCCAGGGCGATCCGGAAGGCCCCATTGCGCTCCGAGCGTTCTGGCACGCCCCGAGAAGGCCGCGGCGCGCTCGACGCATCCTCTGCAGGGCCGCCGGATCTCAGGGAGATCTCCTCGACTTCTCCCCTCGCCCCGATGCTGTCCTCGTCCTGGCTTCGTCTCAGGGCCCAGACATGCGACGCCCTGATATTTTCAGGGCGGCGTCCCTGGAAGTCCAGACCCTTTCCCCGGGACCCGTTTTCCGTCCTGGGTCGTCTTTTTGACGGTCCCGAGGCCCGGCGAGGCCCCCACGGGCCCGAACATGGCTAAAAACCTCCCGTCCTGTTTTTTTACACGACGCGATCCTGCCTGGGTGTGGGAGGTGGGGCGGACGCCCCGAGGGGCCTCTGGGGGGGGTCGCGAGGGCCGCGCCTGGGGCCCTTGAGAGCCGCCGCGCGCCCCCGGCAGCGCGGGCCTGCCGTGTGGAGGCGCGCCGTGGCCGCGTGCAGAGGCCTCGGCCGCCCGGGGAGCCGGCGCGGGCACCCGGGGGGCGCGGGGCCCCCGGGCGTGCCGCCGGCCTCTCGTGCGGAGCGGTGCTCGCCTCCTCCCCGGGGGCGGCCGGGTGCTTCTCGTGTTTTTTGCCTCCTCTGTGCCTCCGCCTCCCTCCCTCCTTCGCCCTCCTTCTCCTCCTGACATGCACGCAGTCTACAGTAACACCAGGTGTAGATGCTATGCTCTCTCCCACTCTGGCTTAGTAACGGCTACAGAACATGCTGGATGCCAGAGCTGACATGCACGCGATCTACAGTAGCACCAGGTGTAGATGCCCCCCTCCCTCCTCCGCCCTCCTCCGCCCTCCTCCGCCCTCCTCCTCCGCCTCCTCCTCCTCCTCCTCCTCCGCCTCCTCCGCCTCCTCCACCTCCTCCTCCTCTGTGCCCGCCTTTGCCGCTGGGCTTTGCTGGATGGAGAGGGTGCCGCCGTTCTCGGGCCCTCCGCGCCCTCCCTTGGCCCCGACCTGGGACCGTCCGACGGATCGCAGGCGATGTTTCTCCCCCGGGCCTCGGGCTCTGCTCGGAAAGTGGGGCCGCTCAGACAGGGCGGGGATCTCTGGGATACGCCTCAAGGGAGCTGCGCGGACGTACCCCTATCGAAGATGGACGCCCCCCCCCCCCCCCCTCGCATAACTCGGGGCTGGGCCCCGGACTTGTTCGAAAACCTCCCAAAGCTCGGGATTGGATCCATTTCCTTGCGCCAGCTCAGAAAAAAATAGGTCGGGGCGAAGAGCTGATCCTGGAGGAGGGCCCCGGGGCCCAGGACCCGTTTCCCCGCGAGACCACCGCCGGGAGAGACGCCCACCTCGCGCTGCCGCCTGGGGGGGGGGGGGGGGGGGGGAGCCTCTCGTTTTGGTGGGCCTCGGGGAGCGCTGGGTGCGCCCGCCTCCGAGGGCGGGGCAAAAACGCCGTCCTCTGCTCCACACGGGGAGGTGGCTGTCTTGGTGCGTACACTGGCTCTTCCCACTCCACAAGCGCCGGGCTCTGTCGGACCCAGACAACCCCATCGCTGTCTGCACTTAACATCGCAGGTATCTAAAGCAGTGGAGCGCCATCGTCGGTAGTCTGCTTGTTCCGCGCCTTGAGCGTTTGGGTGCTTATGGTCCCTCGCAGACGAGAACGCCCTTGAGGTCCTGGCATGCCAGTGTTTCTTCGAGCCGGGCGTCTTCGTCGGGTTTCGGGCCTGGGGGCCTTCGCACATCGACCGGGCCCGAGGCATCGGGCAGAGACGGCAGAGAGGCGGGGTCCAGGGCTCCGGTCGCGCGGTGCGCCCCTTTTTTCGCGCCGTCGGATCTGACAGTGGAAGCCCATGCCAAGAAACACCCTGCTTGCCTCCATGGTGCTCTGGGTTTCTTAGGTTTTGATGCTTTTGCTTTGGAAAGTGCGACGTTCCCACACCCGAAATCCATGCACGTCTTGGGGTCTCAGGGTTGGCCTTCTAGTGGACGGTTTCTTGTGGTCGAGCTCCTGCTGTAAGGTTTCCCGGCGATGCCAGCTGGGTGTGCCCTGCCAGCAGCTCGCAGAGCCATGGTGGGCAGGCAGCTCGCGGGCTCTTCTGGTGGCCCTGCAGGGCCACTCTGCTCCCCTGCGCCTCTCGTTCGCCCCCCGTTCGTCCCCCCTCCCTCGCGGCGTGTGTCCAGGCCTCACTGATGGGGTCGGAGTAGATTTCAATCGGGCACGTCCCTCTGCAAGAGGAATAACGGTTCAAAACTAGTCAAGTACTCTGGGGGCGATTTTCTTTTGGAATATTTCCCAACGTTTTGAAGAGACAGCGCCCCGCGTCCCTCCCTCCCGCCTAGTCCTCCTCCCTCCTCCCCCTCCTCCCTTCTCCAAGTCCTTGCCCCTGCCTTGATAATGTTTCTGTTTCAACACGCGTTTCGTGGCCCCATAGGGAGCTCCATCGAAGGTGCCAGTGTGTATGGCGCCGCCCCATGTTGGCACACCCCTCACATGTTTCGTGGCCCCATAATGAGCTCCACAGCTAGCATTGCGCCGCCGCTCCATGTTTGGCACACCCTTTTTTTCACGCTTCGTGGCCCCATAAGGGAGCTCCACCTAAGGTCCCAGTGGCGCAGCTCGCACGGCGCCGCCGCCCCATTTTGGCACATTCCTCACACGTTACGTGGCCCCATAGAGAGTTCCACCTAAGGTCCCAGTGGCGCAGCTCGCATGGCGCCCGCCGCCCCATGTTGGCACACCCTTCACACGCTTCGTGACCCCATAGGAAGCCCCACCCAAGGTCCCAGTGGCGCAGCTCGCATGGCGCCGCCGCCCCATTTTGGCACACCCCTGTGGCGCAGCTCGTATGGCGCCGCCGCTTTAGTTTTGGCACACCACTCACACGCTCCGTGGCCCCATAGGAAGCCCCACCTAAGGTCCCAATGGCGCAACTCGTATGGCGCCGCCGCCTCGTTTTTGGCACACCCGTCACACGTTTCGTTGCCCCAAATGGAGCTCCACCTAAGGCCCCAGTGGCGCAGCTCGCATGGCGCCGCTGCCCCATGTTGGCACACCCCTCACACGTTTCGTGGCCCCACAGGGAGCTCCACCTAAGGTCCCAGTGGCGCAGCTCGCATGGCGCCGCCGCCCCATGTTGGCACACCCCTCACACGTTTCGTGGCCCCATAGGGAGCTCCACCTAAGGTCTCACTGGCGCAGCTCGCATGGCGCCGCCGCCCGCCGCCCCATTTTGGCACACCCCTCACACGCTTCGTGACCCCAGAGGGTGCTTTTCCTAAGGTCCCAGTGGAGCAGTTTGCATCGAGTTCTTCCTGGCAGGGCCGCCGGAGGGTTGGCGGAAACATCTGGAGTAGTTTGCCGCGCGCACGAAACGGTGCAGGAGGGAGGCGGCGGCCCTCGCCAGGGAGCTGAGCTTCACCTACTTTATCCGCGAGGCTTGACCTGAGGAGCGGCCCGCCCGAGACTCGCCGTCTCTCGACGGTCTGAATGTTTGGCCTCGCGCCGCGGGCGACCCGCGCGCGTCGCTTGGACCGTCTCGGGGCGACCAGCGCGCGTCGCGGGAATTCCGCGCTGCGCTCTGCCCAGAGCCTCGCTCGCTCCCGTCGTCGCTCTGCCCAGCGGCCACAGCCTTGCCCGCTATCAGCCAGCCAGCTAGTTCTCTTTTCCGCGCAGCGGACGACCCGCGCGCGTCGCCAGGACCTCTCCGGGGCGACCAACGCACGTCGCGGGAACTCCGTGCGGCACCGCGCCCGCAGCCTTGGACATGGGCGCGCACGGGCAAATAGGAAGAAACTGAACGGGAAGGAAGCGGGCGCGATCTTCGTGAGGAGCGTGCCGACATGGGCGTCGCGACGCGCGGGCGTTGCTGTCGGAGTTCCAGGGGAAGCTTGCGGCGGCCACGCGCAGCGTCACCAACATTTAGGGTCAGGCACGCGCGAAACGTCCACATTCGTATGTGTATATTTATATATAGACACACCGGGCGCGGCCTTGCTCGCGCTCACGCAGACATACCCACTCGCACGCAGATTCGTTCACACTCAGACCCACTCGCGGTCAGATTTTCCCGCGTTCAGTCTCTCGTAATCAGACCCATCGTCTTCGTTCGCGTTGTGTACACCGCCGCGCAATTCGGCGCATCCCTCATGCGGTTCGTGGCCCCATAGGGAACGCCACCGAAGAAAATATTCACAATTGCGGTACTCACAACTGCGTATGGTTGGGTCCTTCGCCAGGCTAATTTTCATTATTTTTACTTTTTTCGAGAATCCGCCTGTAGAAGGACATGCCCGACCCAAGATTAGATGGGGTCGGGCGATCACGCCGCATCGCCGACGCATCGCCGATGCAATCGATGCGGAACCCCGTTTCCCGCGCCAGCTTCGCCGATGCATCGCAAACGTCGCCGAGGCATCAAGGATGCATCGGCGACACACTGGCGATGAATCGGCGATGCTGCGGGGTCCTCCGACCCTGGACCCCGTCGGGGAGGCCTCTACTTCCGGGCTCAAGGTTTTAGGCAGTCGGTCGTTTTCGTCAATCTTCGGCGGCTTGCCAGCCTCTGGGTGCGCTCCGGCAGCTGCGCCGGGCGCTCCGGGGGTGCTGGGATCGTCCCTGATCGTTTTTTGTTTACTTCCGCCGTATTCCATAGTTGTACAACACGTTCGAATAACAAAACAACCACGAAACGTATACGAACAAAACAGGAGACGGGCACGCACAGCACACGAAACAGGAATGATACCCATGCGAAACGTGTGCGCGGGCGTATACGCAACGTATGCACACAGTAGTTCGTGGCAGACGTTGTAGTAATAATGACATTTGTCGTCGCAGGGGAAAACGTGGTAATATTCGTAGCAGTTGTAGTCGTAGCGGTGATCGTAGGTGTAGCAGCAGTCGTAGTAGTTCTCTGCCCGCTTCTTCCGACCGACGGGTATGCGAGGGAGAAGGAAGGAGGAGCAGGAGGAGGAAAAGGAGAAAAAGGAGGTGAAGAGGAGGAGGAGGAGGAGGACAAGGAGGACGAGGAGGAGGAGGAGGAGGAGGAGGAGGAAGAGGAGGAGGAAGCGGAGGAGGAGGAAGAGGAAGAGGAAGAGAAGGAGGAGGAGGAGGAGGAGGAGGAGGAGGAGGAGGAGGAGGAGGGGAAGGAGGAGGAGAGGGGAGGAGGAGGGAGGAGGAGGAGGAGGAGGAGGAGGAGGAGGAGGAGGAGGAGGAAAAGGAGGAGGAAAAGGAAGAGGAGGAAGAAGGAGGACGAGGAGGACGAGGAGGACGAGGAGGACGAGGAGGGCGAGGAGGAGGAGGAAGAGGAAGAGAACGAGGAGGAGGAAGGGGGAGGAATATGGAGAGGAGGAGGAGGAGGAGGAGGAGGAGGAGGAGGAGGAGGAGGAGGCGCGCAACAGGACGAGGAGCTCAAGAAGATGGAGACCGCTGCGGACGAGGCGGAGCTCGAGGACCCGCGTTCGTCGGCTCGGGGTGCAGTGCTCGTGCGCAGGGCGCCGAGGCGCTCGAGCCCGCAGCGGCCCGCGACAAACATTTTTCCGCGGGTCGAGAGCGAGCCTCTTCCGATAGAAGCTAAGCGGGCCGCGCACAGCTTTAATTAGCAAAGGGGGGTTCAAAAGAAGGCGGGGCCTCACGTCAAGGCCGAGAGAGGGCAAAGCCCTGGGATCAGTCGGTGCCGAAATCGAAGTGCAGGGTAAGGTACGCCTTGGACATGGCCCACGACAAACACACAGTGTGCATCAAAGGGTTCCTTTCGGCTGCGGTTAAGTCGGGCCTGTCCCCCTACAGGAGGAACATCCAGAAATAGTCAACAAATATTATTGGGACGATGTTTTGACAATTTTTGGGTATGTGTTTCGCATGTTTAGGGGTATGTTTTATTGTTCGTCCAAAACCGCCTGTAGGAGGGCGTGCCCGACCTAAGGCTACGGACTCCGATGTGAGTTCCGATTTCTCGAGGCCTACCACCAGCCCGCCGAGTTCCGCCGCTTCGACTCCTGCGACTCGGCTGCCGATTCCCGCCGACCCGATCCGTTTCGCTCGCCGATCCAATTCATCGGTTCGCTTCGAGGCCTTCCTGGGATCACCAGCGACGCACTGCGATCCCTGCCCTGCTTGAGGTGCAGTTTCTTTTGAGATGGATCGGAGACCTGGCCGTGGACGGCAACAGCAATGTCGGCGGTGTGCCTCAACCGAGGGAAAATGATTCAGATCTCGGGCTTCCAGGGTGGCCGAAACCGATTACCGCCAACGCCAAAATCCAGGATCATCTTCCCCTGATGGAGGCGCCCCCCCCCATGTGTTGGTGCTGGTGCCTATGTCCAGGCCGCCAGATGAAGGCTGACCCTTCTGACCCACAGACGTGCGTGTGTGGCAGGTTCGCGTCGGCGATGCCGGCGCAGGCGTTCAGGGCTGATCTCCGAATGCTAGAACGACGCGGAACCATCGAGTGGCACGGTGACGCCCCGGGCCCCGACGGAGTGCGACCTTCAACGATCGTGGTCGTGGTCGCGATCGATCCGAGGCGGAGCGATCGACGCGTCGCCAAGAGCCTCTGCGCGAGCCGGCGCCGCACAGACCCGCGCGCAGGCTGCCCGCGGCACGCCCGAGAGCGCTGGGCCGGGGGGCTCCCGGACGACCCTGATGGGCCTGCTTTCCACCACCACCACCAGAAGTTGGAGGAGGGGGCTCCTCCTCCTGACTCCCCCTCTCCTCCTCCTCCTCCTCCTCCACCACCTCCTCCTCCTCCTCCTTCCTCCTTCCTCCCTCCAACTTATAGTGGTGGTGGTGGAAAACAGCGCCTGCGCTAGGGCCGGCCGGGGGCAGCTCGCGCGCGCGCCTCTGCCGGAGGCGTCTCCGAGTTCTCTCTTGATAGGCCCGCCCTCTCGACGATCCTCGGGGATGCGACAGGGATGGGTTATCTATAGGGGAGAAGGAAGGAGGAGGAGGAGGAGGAGGAGGAGGAGGAGGAGGAGGAGGAGGAGGAGGAGGAGGAGGAGGAGGAGGAGGAGGAGGAGGAGGAGGAGGAGGGAGGAGGAGGGGGAGCAGGCGGAGGAGGTGGAGAACGTCGACAGGGGGCGAGGAGGAGGAGGAGGAGGAGGAGGAGGAGGAGGAGGAGGAGTGAGGAACGAGGAATGTTGATGAGGAGTTGCTGCGGGCGCCCGCGCCTGCGCCCGGCGAGGAGAAGATGGCCTCGACGCTCGCCAAGAGCCAAGCCACGACGCTGGAGGGGGGGGGGGAGGGGCTGGTCGGCGCTGGCCCCCTTGTCTGCCCCCCCTCCCCTCGGCCAGGCCCGCCTCGCGCCGTCCAGGCTGGGCCTCGGATCAAGCAGTGGCGAAGCGTCCCGGCTCGCGTATAGGCCCACCACAGAATGTTCGAATAACCTTCTTGTGGTTGCAAGAAATGTTCTTAGAACATTTCTAGCTGGGACTGTCTTGTTTCAGAGGGGAAAAACACAGACACTATTAATTGTCGACTCCCAGGAAAATATGGGAAAATATGGGAAGTGAGGGGGAAGACAAAAACCCAGACAATATTGAAAGATATGGGGATTCCCCAGATTTGTGTATATTTATTTGTGTGTCCCAGGGCCCCTTCATTGGTTTTACACATCGGGGTTATGTTACAAGGATCTTGCTCTTGTCATTAGAACATGTTTGGGTTCTAAGATCATGTCGTGGTAGGCCTATAGGAATGCCCGGACGGTCGGTCCCTGCTCAATCAGAGAAGACACACGTGTCGGCGGCGTGCGAGGGGGGGAATTGAGAAGGGGCGGGCTTTCCCAGAAGGCTCGGAAGTCCCCGGGCCTTCTGAGAAGGTCTCTGAGCCTTCCCCAAAGACGCGGGAAACTTCGGAGAGGGCGCGGGGGCTTCCGAGAAGCCCCGCCGCCTCCCGAGGAGCCCCTCCCCTTCTCATTTCCCCCCCCCCCTCGCCCGCCGACAAAGACTATTGACGTGCAGATGTCGATCACAGTTCTCGTCTCGCAGGGCACAGCCACGACAGGCTCGTCAATTCTGATGTGCCTGTTCTCCACCACCACCAACACCACCACCACCATAAGTAGGAGGGGCAGGGGGTCCTCCTCCTCCTCCTCCTCCTTGTCCTCCTCCCCCTCCTCCTCCTCCTCTTCCTCCTCCTCCTCCCCCTCCTCCTCCTCCTCCCCCTCCTCCTCCTCGTCCTCCTCCTCCTCCTCCTCCTCCTCCTCCTCCTCCTCCTCCTCCTCCTCCTCCCTCCTCCCCCTCCACCTCCTTCCCCCCTCCGACCTGTGGTGGTGGTGGTGGTGGTGGAAAACGGGCCCACCGGACTCGTCGGGGGCCCGCGCGGAGTGCCAGGGGCGGCGCGATGAGGCTTGTCTTCGGGCGGCGGCGCCGCCGTCCCTCCCGTGGCGCGTCCTCTGCGCGCCTGGCGAAGGGCACGGCCGCCCACCCGCTCCGCTAGGGTGTACAGAGTGGTCAGTGGCACCTCCTGGTCTGAGGTGAGCGTTGCCGACGATGACGTTCGCGGAGGCAACGCCCCCCACCATCCCGGTGCCGCGCAGTCCCCTGTGTTGGCTGGGGTCGTGGGGGCTTTCCCATCCCCCCTAATTCGGTGCAGGTGGCTTGTCCTGGGCACGGCGCATCGGCGCTATGGACGCTCGGTCTGCGCGCGCCGGACCCCCCAAAAAAGGGGCTCGGCCGCCGGCCCCACTGGCGCCGAAGGCGGGCGTGCCCCTCTGCAGGAGGGATATTCCGATGGGCCCGCTTTCCACCGCCACCACCATGAGCTGGAGGGGGGGAGGAGGTGGAGAACGAGGAGGACGAGGACGAGGAGGAGGAGGAGGTGGTGGTGGTGGAAAACAGGCCCATCGCATTCAAAAAACAGCAAAACATGGTACGGGGGCGATCTTCTGACAATTCTGTTTTTTTGTTGACGTGCTTTTGGGTCTGCTCCATCTTTCGTCCCAAGCCGCCTGTAAGGGGGACATGCCCTGCGAGTGCGGTTTGCGAATGTCGTCCTTTGTTGATTCGCCTGCCGCCGGTGTCGCCCTGTCCTGGGCCTCCCAGGTCTTGTCGCTGGCCCTCGCCGCCCCGGGCCCGTGCGCCCCGGGGATCGTGGTCAGAGCACATTTCTGGAGAGGTGCAGTCGGCCCTGACTAGTGGGTCGACCCTGCCAAATAAAGGGCACCCTTGCGTCCCGTGCCTCGCGGCCCATGCCTCCCACGTTCCTATGGCATCGTGGCCCTCGGAGGGGCCTTGTGTCCTTTCGCCTGTCCTGTTCAGTCAAGTCCGACTGCAGGGGAGGAGGGGGGGCAGCGGCGGCCTCATCACTTCAAAAGCGTACAGTCATCCTGCGAAAAAAGGGTGCTTTTGTCACCATAGACACGCCAACGGCGATGTAGGCAACGGCGAAGTAGGTTCCGGTATCGTGGAAGCGCGTGGCTCGCGCTTTCCTGCAATTCCCTGTGTCGTTGTCGATCGGCACATGTGCATATTGGAAGTGTAGGAAGGAATGGTTCGTGATTCCCTACAAGTTGGTTCCCAACATCACCGTTGAACAACATCGCCGTCAGCGTGGCCTTGGTTTCAGTGCTCCTGTCTGGAGGGTTTCTCCGAGGGGCTTAGGCGACCCGTCCTCGTCCTCCTCCTCTTCTTCCTCCTCTCCTCTTCTCTCCTCTTCCTCCTCCTCCTCCTCCTCCTCCTCCTCCTCCTCCTCCTCCTCCTCCTCCTCCTCCCCCTCCTCGGGTCGCCTACGGCCCCGGGGTAAGCCGTGCACTCCCTGTGGTCTTCGGCATGGGGCGTGCAGTGGCTCGGGCGCCGCGCAGCTGCGGGCCGCGCGGCTGCGGGAGGGGGCTGTTCCGCTGCCTCCCTCCTCTTCCCTGCCCCCTTTCGGCAGTGGCGGGCCGGGCTCTCCTGAGTCTCCATATCAGGGGCAGCGTTAGGGGGGATAAAGCATAGGGGGGACGATCGGCCCCCCTTTGCCCACTGATCGGCGGTACAGGGGCCCGACGGCCCCAACCCGCCCAGGAAGGTGCGGACTCGCTATCGGGGCCCTATCGCCGATCCATCGTCGATGAATCGCCGACTCCAGGTCGATGCATCCCCCACAATGCCAGCCCCGCCCAAGCGTCGTCCCTCACCATAGATTTCTGTTCCAGGGACGAGATGGTTGCCGCTGCTCTTGGGCGTCGCGCACAAGGGGCGGGGTGGAAGGGAGGAGGGCTGGGGTGGGGCGAAATACAGTCAACCCGCATAGTAAGGATGGGCAAACTTCCCAGGGGTACCCTTGCATCATTGCCTTCTCGGTCCATCCTTCGCCGCTTTCGCTGGCCGCGCCCCGCTCGAAAAGCTTCGAAGTGGGCGTCCTAGGCCCTGGCATCCTTATCGCGCATCCTTACTATCCTGGTTGACTGCAGGGGGGGGGGGGGGGGGCAGCGGGGGCCGCAGAGAAGGAGCCCCATTGGGGCCCCCCTATAGAGGGCCCTCTGGGGCCCAAAGGGGACCGTCCAGGGCACGAGAAGCGCCCCTTTCTCCCCCTTCCCCCCCCCCCCATCTACCCCCCCCCCCCGACTGAGCGACGCCCGACACTTCCCTCGTGGAAGCGAGAAGGAGAGGGCCTCCTCGGGAGGCGGCGGGGCGTCTCAGAAGCCCGCGCGCCCTCTCAGCAGCTTGTTCTGCCTCCGGGGAAGGCTCAGAGCACTTCTCGGGAGGCCGGGGGACTCCCGAAGCTTCGGAGGAGGCCTTCCTCTTCTCGCTTCCCCCCCCCGCGCGCCGCCGGCCGAGGGCCAGCCCTCCAGGGCGGTGCGGCGCGTGCCGCTTCGCACCCGGCGGCCTGGCTGATCCCGCAGCGCATCGCGGAGTTCCTCGCTGGCGACGCCGCGCACTCCGGCAACACGCAAGCAGCGGCGAAGCGTCCCGGCTCGCCAAGAGGCCTACCAAAGGATATTATATTTTTTGTGGTTTCCACGCAATGTTCTTAGAACATGTTTGGCTGGGATTGTCTTATTTCAACACATTGTGTTTGCGTTCCAAGAACAGTGTTTTCGTTATTCGAACGTTTTTGGGTTCTAAGAACATGTCGTGGTAGGGCTATAGGAATGCCGGGACGGTCGGTCCCTGCTCACAACACGCCCGTGGCGGTCGAGCCCCAAGCTTTAGGTGTTCCCGCGTCTGTTTGGCTTGGGCTCGGCTGCAGTTGTTGTCCCCCCTGTCGGCTTCGCGCCCAAAGCGCGGGCGTGCCGTCACGAGTTGTGCACGGTCGAGGGAGCATCCATCGAAGAAGAAATAACGCCATAGACATGAACTTTTGGCGCTCCTCGCGGATTTCTTGCATCGGTCCTGGGGCCCCCCTGGCGGCGCCTCCGGCGCCGCCCTTGGCGCGCGGAGCGCGCCAGGGAGGGGGGCCCAGCGCAGATCCACGAAATCCGCGCGGACCTTCCCAGGTTTATGTTTACGCGCTGATTTTTCAATCCAGGAATGCGTTGGTATCGGCTTGAGTTGGGTCCGTGGCGGCCCGTTTTCTCACGTCAAGGGGACAGTTGTCTCATCCCCGCCAGTTGCCTTGGCCACTGCAACTGTACCGCTCGATTTGTGCATCATCGAGCCCTTAACGCCGAAAAGTACGTGTGTGTCTGTGTGTGTGCGTGTCTTGGGCCTTAGTGCGTGTGTGTGTGTGGGGGTAGATTCGTATATTTGAATGTTAGTTGTACCCCTCTATGTCTCGCCTTCTGTCGCTCTCTCTCCTTGCCTCTCTCTCTCTCTTCCTCTTGCTTCCGAGCAGTACCTTGCATCCTTGAGATTCTTCCCTCGCTGATCTATCGGCCCGGGTGAGAGGAACTCCTCCACGACATTCCCGATGCCGACATTGCGGTGCCAGAGAGCGGTGAGCCTCGCCCGTCGCCTCCCTTTCAGTGAATGTCTTCCAGCCAGCATCCAGCGCAAGCCCCCCCCTCTTTCAAACGGCGCCCGTCCTCGAGGGCGTTTTGGCTGCTCTGCCTGCACCTCTCTTCTCCCGCCTCGACCTTGCGCATCCCCCCCTCCTGGATCGCATTCCCTTGAATTGCTCACCTTCTCATTGTATTATCGGCGTTTGATTGACAGGCGATGGGCAGATCTGTTCATACGTAATGTTCTTTGTGGTGGTGCATTTTTGTACGGGCCATTGTTTGTTCGGGCGTGTTGGCACGCATGTGCCAATTGTAAGCATTCATGCGCATTTAATGTTCTCTCTTTCCCTCTCTCTCCGTCCACTGCAAGATTTGTTCATCTACAAGCTCAACCCCGTCACACAAGATGGTGACCTTGAGCTTATTTTTTCGCGCTTCGGGCCGATCAAGAGCTGCGAGATCGTGCGGGATTGGAAGACTGGGGACTCACTGCAGTATGGCTTCATCACGTTCGAGAACGTCCGCGATTGCGAGAATGTGAGCTTTTTTGTGCTCGATTGTGTCTTAGTCGAATGTAGAGTTGCGCTCAGGTTGCCAATTGGTGCATTCGCAGATTATGGTTGTAGATGCCATCCTGACAATCTGTTGGTGAGTTCGAATATTGACTATTTCGTACGTGTCGTGGTTACTGTACATTAATGTTGGGCGGTCGTGTGCGCATGTTGGTATTGGATCTTGTCGATTCAGTGTGTGTTTGATTGTCCTGTACCGTGTCGAGATCGCTGTGAGGTCTCCCAGACGGGTCCTGGACATCTGGGAAAGAGTTGCGGTTAGAGCATCTTGAGATTTTTGCTTCACGTTTCGTTTCCGGCTCATCTGTCCCGGTTATATAATGTTTACTCTTGGCGGGGGAGGGGTACAACATCTTCAGTTGTTTGTAGCAGGTCCCGGCTCCGTCCCAGCCCAGCATTCTGCGAGGCGACTGTTCGAGGGGACACGGGAGGCCGTCACATGTGACACCTCGTGTCTCCAGGTTTGGGAGATCCGTGATGGGGATCATGAGGATGACGATGATGACGATGTTGATGGCGATAATGATGATCGATGGCGAGGATGAGTGATGATGATGATGATGGTGATGGTGATGGTGATGGTGGTGGTGATGGTGGTGGTGCTGGTGATGGTGATGGTTTTGATGCTCTTCTGTTGCTGGAGACGATGATGCTGATCATCAGGATGAGGATGAGTACTATGAGAATGACGATGATGATAATGATACTGGTGGTAATGATGACGATGATGATGCGGATGAGGATGAGGACGTGGATGAGGATGATGAGGATGATGTTGAGGATGAGGTTGATGATAAGGATGAGGATGGGGGTGGTTATGATGATGATGGAGGTGGTGGTGATGGTGATTGTGTTTGTGTTGGTGACGATGTTGATGATGGTGGTGATTCTGGTAGTGGTAGCGATGGTGGGGTGATGATGAGCATGGATATGAGTATCGTCGATATGCGTATGTGTATGATGCTGATGCTGTTGCTGATGCTGTTGATGATGAGGATGCTGATGCCGAT